TGGCCCTATGCAGAGTGCACGTCCCAGGATGCGCGAGTCGGCTACGAAGCGCGTGGCAGCATCAACCACATCCTCAACTTTGCCCGTCGCGCCGCCTGCAAGGATGAAGCGTGCTCCCGCTGTTACAATGGGCGTGTCGATGAAGTAAGGACAAAGCAGATTGACGCGTATGCCCTGCAGGTTGCTGGTAGCACGGAGGGTCCTAAACAGGCCGAGCACAGCATGCTTTGCTGCACAGTATTGCGGCTGAATGGCAATGGGAGCAAGAGATGCCACCGAGCCAAGCATGAGCAGGTGGCGGTCGCGGGGCGAAGTTGTCGAAGGCTTCGCGTCGATGCTACAGGGCGACGAACCCGGGTTCTTGGGCAGCCAGAAGTAGGCCAGGTGCGTCGTATAGAGCACGCCTGTGAGGTTGACGTCGATGATGTTGAATTTGGGCGGGGGTGGTTCAGCGGCATCCAGGCCAGAGCCTTCCTGAAGTATGTCGTGGCCGGCAATGCCTGCATTGGCAACCACACAGTCGATGCCGCCATGGGGGCTCAGCTTGACCGCTTCCTTGAACAGATTGACTTGAGACTGCCAATCCGTCACGTCGCAGTGCACAAAGTGTGCCTTTGCATTACCGCTGGCCTGGGCATTGATGCGGCGACACAAGCCATCACCTTTGGACACATTGATGTCGCCCACAATGACCGTCGCACCGCTAGCCACCCACTTCTCAACGAAGCCTGCTCCGAACCCACTCGCTCCGCCCGTGATGAGGATGACCTTGTCCGTGGCCCAGGCGGCATCGTACTTGGCCGCGATATCAAGCGGCGGCGACTGGAGGATGTTTGATTTCTGGGGCGTGTACTCGTCCATTGTGTTTGCGGGTTGTGTGCAATGTCTTGTGGGGAGGGGGGAGGCCTTGCAACTATTAGTACTAATCCATAAGTACGGAAGCAGCAAACAGCGGCTGCACTAGCAACATGTCGTGCATACCTTGGCTAATCTCAGCCGCAGGCCAGAACTAGACAGATGTACATCCTTGTAGACGAGGTGCTTTGTCCATGATTATTACAAAGGTGCACAGCTATTGGACAATGCCTAGTGCACGGCTGAACCGCCCAAAGACTGGCTACTATAATGCTGACAGCATCGTATGCCCCACTGCAAAATATGGTAGTATTCCAATTTTGCATTCGGTCAGCCACCAGCACTATCCAATGGTACAAGCTTTGGTAGTAATTCAGGCATCCTCTTTTCGATTACTCGTCGACATTGCTTTTGCACACGTCAGCACTACTCTTCTTATCAACTCTGTTCTATATACAAAACTCCATGTGTCATCATAGACCGCCTTCCATGAGTACTTTCTGTGCTTACCAAACCCAATACGCATTCTCTCTATCGTGTAATATTGGAATCGAAATGCATCTCTCTAAACTTGCAGCACTCTAGGCCAAGTATAGGCGAGATGAACCATACCAAAGTACGTGGCTTGGTAAATTCTATTGACTATTATGTGGATACAGATGTCATGATTCAAGGTGACAGTTCCCTGGGACTGTAATGTTTCCACTGTCTTTTCGCAGATAATAGTATAGACGCCTTTGATCTGAATTGGTGCTGCGTACAGATTACTGAATTCTGGGCGTATTTCAACTATACAGAATGACAGTCCATACACATGATTATGGTGCGCACCTCTGCCCAAGTGCTTGTTGATGAAATGCCGTGGCGGGCTTGTCTGACGGTGCCGCTATTGTACCTGAATCCCAGGCCGCAACCCCTGCGAAAATCTTGTTACCCCTCCCACCATGCCCCCCAACAACATTCACTACCCCTCCATCGCCCACAATGTCCACCCCCGATGCCTCACCAACCCGCCTCGTCGCAACTCTCTTTCATGAAACCGGGCCCATCGACTGTCTAACCGACTTTGAGGTTGTGCTCACGACAATCATCCCAGGCTTGCAACGCGACTCCATCACCACCAAGAGACTGGAAGCAACCAAGCAATGTCGCGTAGCCGAGCTTACTTTTCCACTCCCCAGCCCTGAGGCCATTACGCTCGACAGCCTGCGGAGGCACGATGCCGTCGCACAATTTGAGCGTCAATGGAGTATCGAGTGCGTCTTTCAAGCAGACACGATTTACCGGCGCTACAAACGACTTGCCGTCTTTGACATGGACAGCACCCTCATTCAGCAAGAAGTCATTGACGAGATTGCCTCGCTGATTGGTGTCGAGAAAGAAGTCTCTGCCATTACGGCTGCAGCCATGAACGGCGAGCTAGACTTTGAGGCCAGTCTGCGCGCGCGATGCAAATTGCTGAAAGGCGTGCCAAGCACCGTCTTCGAAACCCTAAAGCCCAGGATAACGCTCAATGAAGGTGTCAAGGAGCTCATCACTGCACTCAAAAGACTGGGCTTCAAAACTGCCGTTTTGAGCGGAGGCTTCACGCCCTTGACCGGCTGGATGGGCGAGCAGCTCGGCCTGGACTATGCCTTTGCTAACCATCTCGTTGTCTCTGAAGACGGAGCTACCCTCACGGGCGAATTGACAGGCGAGATTGTCCATGCGCAAAAGAAACGACAACACGTGTTTGAAATCGCCGACAAAGAGAACATACTCTTGGAACAAGTAGTATGCATCGGTGATGGCGCCAACGATCTTCCCATGATGGGCGTAGCCGGTCTTGGCGTTGCTTTCCATGCAAAGCCAAAGGTGCAGATGCAGGCTCCTGCCCGCTTGAACTCGAAGAGCATGCTGGACGTTTTGTATCTTTTTGGTATATCCAAAGAAGAGCAGAAAGTCTTGCTACAACAATAATTGCCAAAATATAGATCTCGTTTGTCACTCTACCAACAACTTCTGTGGTCGTGTGTTTTTCTGAAACGGGGTTATATCAACTATAGACCCTGAATTTTGTTGTCTGCAAGTATCCATATGTCAATGATGATTGATGAAAAGTGATACTTTATTTTTATGCTGATGTTCGGTTTATGCAAGACTTGAACAGTGTGCATGACATTTAACAGAGCGCCTCGGTGGAGACGATTCTTTTCCATGGTCAACTATTCAACTCTCAATACACAAAAACATAACAATCCAATGGAATTACTCACTATTGCGTGTGACATCCAGAGTACTGCATAGTACCATCCACAATCGGGAATGCTTATAGGCTCACCAGTTTTCACAGAAGACATCACTTATGGTCAAAAGCAAGTGGAGCAAGAATCAGACAACTAAATGATTTATATAACAAGAAAGTATGGAGCCTCGAGTATATACAGGAAAAAGCTAGCAGTCAAAGTAGCCAGGTCCCCCAGGAAAGCCCTTGAGAAAGATTGTACAGCAGCCCGGAAGCCAAAGAAGAGGGACAGTGGTGAGCAAGCCGTCCATCCACCATCATCGTTCACACGTTCAGCGTTGAACCTGTTTTTATCATACCAGAGCGCGAGACGCTTACTGGCACTGGGAGTAGTAGGGGTTCATGGTCTTGCAAGAGCCCTTGGCGCAGCACTTTGCGCCGGTGAAACCGGAACCACCGCACTGGGCCCACTGAGCAGCGCAGCCAGCACCGGGAGCAGGAGTAGCAGCAGGAGCGGGCTTGGTGGCGAGAGTGGTGGCAGCGGGAGCAGCAGGGGCGTTGTTGGCAGGGGCAGCAGGGGAAGAGCCAGAGCTGGCGGTTCCCGCACCTCCCTTCCAGACGGCAGGGCCGGGCATGGGGAAAGCCTTGCGGCCGTTGTAGATGCTGAAGTTGGCATATGGGTCAGAGGCCTTGTAGGCACCGGGGAACTGTAAGAATGGTTAGTAAATGATGGACTGTGGTTGTTATGGGGAGAGAGTAAGAAGACTTACCTTGACAGTGGGACCGGGGGTACCGTTACCGCCACCCTCAACCTTGATCTGCATGCAGGAGACGTAGTGCTCAGGCTGGTTGACGTGGGAGCGGTGAACACCAATGTGCTCGAAACGGGCAAGGTACTCGCCGCTGGGAGTATCCTTGGGGATCGTGGCCGCAATGTAATCCCTGTTGTAATCGCACCAGGCGGTCGAGGTGAAATCACCACCATCGCAAACACCGAGCTCGTGGATCTTGAACCAGTTGCCGTCCTTTCCGTCAAAGGTCTTGACGCTGCCGGGGGCCTTGGCCATGTAGACCATCTCGGGACCAGGGTGCTGGAACTTGGCGCCAACAGCGAGCTTGAGGCGGATCTCGTCACCAGCCTTGACGGTCAGGACATCGGTCTTGCCGGCAGAGGAGAAAGCACCCTGGTTGCAGACGATATCGGGACCATCGGCGTGGGAGTTGTCACGGATGTCGGCCGCGGGGTTGGAGGAGAACTTGATGGGGTTGTACTTGGTAGCACGAGTCGACTGGCGAACGTACTTGAAGGAAGACGTCTCAGTTCCACCGACGATGGCCTTGTCCATGAAGTAGTGAGCAGAAGCCACTTGGGCGACGGCGGCGATAAGAGCAGCGGAGAACTTCATTCTGAACTAGCAGTAACGAATGTTTTAGATGGTTGGTTGAAAAGAAGGTGGTTTGCGAAAGGCAAAGAATCGAAAAGAAGGACTGGAAAAGAATGTAAAAGACTGCTGGTTGATGAACTCAGAGGCTGATGAGGATATGATGGAGGAGACATGTCTGTATGTTATATACACCAGCACCTGCTGCCCTGTCCTCCCGTGCCTCTCCACCCGTGGCCATGCCACCGGTCGTCTCGACTCAGGCAAAGTTGTTTGGACGGACATTCATTTGCCCGATCAAACAATGCACAATTGTGGTTCTGAAGCGTTCCTTTGCAGCTTGTCCGCCGTACCAAGACTCTTGGTAGTGGTCCTCTTCATTAGCGAATATCGTATCCTAGGCTATAAGGAGGGTAGTGGCGCTTGTGCAGCCTTGCCGCACACTTGGAAAAGATGAAACACAGCGGGGCCAGCCAATGACGAACAACTCGTAAACGACCTAGACTTGGCCTACCGGGGCCAGCAATAAACACCGAGTTTCAGTATCGCGCTGTCAAAACACGGATTCCTGGGAGCCCAGCCTCGACGTGGATTAGTGTGCGGCGGGGTCGTGGTCCGTTGAAATTTCCGCTCTTCATGCAGGCTTGCTTTCCGCTATCGTTCTTCGATACTTGAATAGAAATGATGGCAAAATGGCGGTAGCGAGATACAGGGGGCATTACCGCTCCACGGAAGCGCGGCACACTTGGCGATTTGACGTCCATGTAAACTCATGGCATGACATGAGCGGGCCGTCGTGCTAGTTCGACGTCTGCTTACTCGGTTCGTCCACATCCTGGGCAACGTGGGCACGTTGCGGGTCATGACAGACGATAAAGCAATATACACAGCTTGGTCAAAACACTATAGGAGAGGGTCACACTGCAACGACTGCGTACTAGTTTTTCACAAAACCACCTAGTTACTATCTTTTCGGTCTTGTTGGTGAATGAATTCGGTCTTATCGTTTCTGGGCCCAAAAAAAATATGCAGTCACAAGACTGTGCAGCCTTGCAAATGTGTTTGAAAGAAATAAAAAACAAAACAAAACAAAGAGAGAAGAAAATTCGATGCCGTTGCAAAAGAGAGAGACGGGTCATGAATCGTGCATGTGTGGAAACCCAGCGTTTCGTTCCCCGTTCCCAAACGCCACCTGCACCCTGCCAGGGGCGAGACGCGGAGTGGGCGGCCTTTGGGCAAAGCTTCAACCTTGGCAAACCCGCACGTCACAGCACCGACAGCGTGCAACCCAGCCTATCGTGTATTAATAAAACTAGGCCCAAATCTTGCAAAAGACCTTCACAAACGCTAGTTAGTCATTATTCTAGAATTATCGAATGCCATCTTGGCTTAATATGTTTACATGAGAATTGCACACAGTGGAAGACTCCGAAAACTACCGGGCATCATCGATGCACATGGCAGGTACGACGAAGGGCTACGTTATTCACTCTGTTTGACAGGCTCACGCCACTATGTGATGATTGAATAGCGCGCGCTACGAGACGGCATGAATGTGCGTGTTTGGCGGAATGTTGGGATGGGTAGGATCCTGCGGGCGCGAACCGACATGACGCGCTGTCATCACAAAAGACAAGATAGGGATGCCTCGGGATCCAGCATAAAAAAGCCAAGGTCACGGTATGTTTCACCGCTTCCTACGAATATAATTGAGACAAGGCGGTTCTTTTTTCTCTCTGCAAAGATACAAAAGACTATGGATTGCCCTGTCGGTGACGACGATAAGCTCTTCTTGCTCTTTTCTTTCCCTCTTACCGTGTGTTTCGGGTCCCACCACCTTATTTGTCCCTCGGTGTAAACTTGACATACGGCAGAATCTTGGGGAGTTGGACTTGTCTCCTATTCACGTCGTCGTCTGGCACTTTGGACAAACGATTGCCGTTTTGGTCGACAAGCTGAAAGTCGAACGAAGCGACAAAGTACGCTGTGACCATTGTTATTTCCAGAGTGGCGAAGCGTATGCCGACTGCAAGGTAAATTAGTTCAGGGGGACGATACATGTGGAGTCGGTGTACTTGCGGCATGGATGCATTCCGGATCCCCAGCCCACGTAGCCGTGTGGCCTCTTTGTGTCCTCGGCACGGTCTGGCATATACCTTGATGGATCCCATTCATATGGGTTGGTGTAGACTTCGGGATCGAGGTGGATGTCGTACGACGGATATGCGACGACGGCGCCGCCAGGGATGACCTCCTTGCCGTTACCCAGCGGAACGTCGTCACTGGTCATGTTCTTCCGGAAGTAGATAGTAAGTATATGCAGACGAATCAAGTCACGCAAGCACGCATTGATGAGGGGAAACTCTGATTCCCATCCTTCTATCGGAATGTCATCGAGCTGTTTGCGTAGTGGCGCATTGGTGTCTTGAGCGTACTTGGCCGCTACCTTGCGTACTTCTTGCCGTACCTTGTCCTGCCACTCTAGAGCAGCTGCTAAGTAGGAAATGAGCCATCCAGTATTGATGGTAGAGTTGACCATGCCTGAAAATACTGCGCCGAAGACAAAGATGGTGGTCCTGAAGACGCTGTGGCCTTGGTCAAGCAAAACTTGCATCGCGTCATAGGGCTTCTTGTCACTCGTAGTACGCTTCTTGATTATGCCCCGGAGTAAGAAGAATACCCGTGCACCACTGTAGAATCTTTTGAAGCCACCAAGCGAGGGAAGACTGGGGAACAAGAGGGAAATGGGACTCGCGCGACTGACTATGCTCCCGAACAGGCTCTGCGTCTGTTTAAGCTTTTTTGGGTCGCTGAGGAGCTCGTTTGGGCCAAACGTGCCCATAGTCAACTTATAGACGGCGCAAGCCATGCTGTCAAAGACGTTGATTATGCCACTGGGCTCTTTTTGAATAGTATCAATCGACTCATTGATATTGGACTTGAGATCAGGCAGCTTGTTGTGGAGATACGGTCCTTTTAGTAGTTGCGAGAGGCGAGAGGCAAACCACTTGTCTATGCCTTCATCCGTTTCCTGGCCATCATGTAACTTCTCTACGCTGGCTGGTGCGCCGTCGATATCGGAGTAGCCCTCGGCCACGCGTAGCTGTCTCGATTCGAAGAACACCTTTCGTGCCGTGTCGCCCAATAATCCAACAACCAGGTTAGGCCCCGCATGGAAGGAAAAATTGCCCGTCTGTGATTGAGATATACATTCCTTATACCAATCCCACCGTCGCTTCCAAAATCCCCATGGACCAATTGCTGGGTAGTTGTCACGAACCTCAGGGGGTGCGTTGTGTGGGATCTGGCGGGTGAGAAGCCTGTGGGCGATTATGGGGAGGACGATGACGGCGGCGATGGCGATGGAGACGAAGATGACTGCGGTGCAGAAGAGGATGAGCGGAGAGGAGGACACTCCATATGGAAAAGGGTCAAATATGGACATTTGAGCTACTGCACGGTTGAGGGCTTTCTTCTGTAGCAATGGTAATTTCAACACTCCACTGCTGTCAACCAGTGTCTCACTGGTTACCGTTTTAGCTTTATATACATCAACAGCAGGAGAGCAACCCCTTCAGGATGATGCACCGATATGCTCACTTTCCAAATAACGTCTTCTTGTCTATCAGTACTGTGTAGCCAATCGCTGCGGTCAAAACTAAGAAGTATATGACTTCGCTTCAACGGTGCATAGGCCATATCCGTCACCTCCCGGTCCAACCACTACCCCGGATCGTCAAGTGCTGACTACCTCGCAAAACCTTAATTCACTAGTTTCCCTCGCTTACAGACCTTCCGCATGTTGGCTTGTGGATTTTGGTTATTTCAGAGCTGGATGCCAAGTAGGGTTAGTATATGCCGTAGATAATTAGCTGAAGCGTCCGCGAAAGACAACAGAACTAATCAAGGATGTTTGTTCGCAGTGATGGTATCCTGTCGCGTCGCTTCCTGACATCTCAGGTAATTATACTTCCCGCGTGTCCAGTGTGACTACGTATACTTACTCGTTACGGAATCGGGCCGCGTTCAGCAGCTTATTCCTACCACCTTGCGTATCAACCACACCCCAGCTCATTCGCCAAAGGCAAATCAACCGCTGTCGAATCTGGGAAACCTTGTGTATCTGTACGTAAGAGGTGTTGAGCGAGTTTGCTGATCCCGCTGGCTTCCTAGAAAGAAAATATTATATGATCGCTCATACTATAGGTATATGCAGTATACCCCCGGCAAGGATACTTAAACGCGAGCTATGCCCGGTCGTCTATGCGCCGTCTGATCATCTCATTTAATCTAATCTCACCTAATACCGACTGACTGGATTCGATGCGCGTATGTTCAGGGATTTCGAATAGCGGCCAATATACTTGTCAAGTTTCGGGAAGTGACTGAGTGGGGTGGTGGTTAATCGTTTTGGTGTGGTGGTAGCAGAGCCAATTATCAGGCGCGTCCCAGTGCCTTATAATGCTAAAAGACAAAACTTTTTGCTCCTTTTAAACAGCCGTATTTCCTAGATGAAATATTCATCAAGCTTACGACGCAGCAGAGCTTGTTCTTTTCCAATGACCTCTAGTGTTATTACTTCATTACGTGGCCTTTCTGCTCCGAATCTCCCTTGACGTTGCCCTTGAAAACCCTACACCCAATCCTCCTTGCCCTTCACACGCAGTTCACCTTGACCATCATCTTCCTCTTCAACTACTTGAGGCCTGTTCGTTCTCTGTTCTCCGTTTTCCGTTTCCATTTTGTTACCATTTTAGGTTTAGAACTTTAGCAGGGGAGAGCTACTTAGTCTCATATCTAACGCAGTCACGTGGCTCCGTTTTCTCGCCAGGGGTCCAGAGGTGCAGCTACAAAACAGACCTCACTTTCGCCTCGAAGGAAAAAAAACATAGAGTGAATCGGCACAAGACAGTGCTTGTTTTAGTATAAGGGCGCCAACAATTTCTAGCGCCGTTTTCTGACTGCCAGACTTACGCATCCGTTTTCCGAACACGACGCCGTTTCCGTATCCGTTTTCGAGGCAGAGTTCAGATTATTCCCAGATTGAGTATAGCAGACGTAAAATGGAGCTGAACCGAACCGGCCCTTGACCCTTCGTCTGCCGTTCAGAAGATATTAGACTTTCTTCGATCGAGAGACTTGGGTTTCCTGTCTTTACCATAAGCCTGCTGCTTCTCTGTTTTTTGGTCATATTTTCTCTTCATTGGACAAAGGAGAAAATAAACTTGAGCACAAGCCTTTTTCCGGCGGATAAGCAATTAACAGTCACCGCTAGCGGACTTGGGCTATGACATGATTTTTCCACACTGCAGGCCCCATGTCACGTGGCTGTAGCTTGGCATTGTCGGCCCATCACTCCGGGGAAAACGACAAAGCAATCAATCCTCCGCACTTTATATCCTAGCTCGGCCTGGAGACGAGCGAATGTCACGGTCTTAACGCAAAAAGGCAGAGTATGCGGCTCAACAACCATCGGGGATCCACTTTCTCGTAATGCAGTTCCGAGCAACGACCAGCGTTTTTCGCGCAAGCGAGGCATCGGATAGTACGGCTTGCACCATCGGCATCTGACTGGCAGAAGCCGACGTCCGACCGCCTCCCAGGTAATGGAGAAAGACGTGCAAGCCACATGCGCAAAGGCTAATTTACATGCCTTGTTGATCTGCACCCATTGTTGCCAGTCTGAGCGCTGGCCATAGTGCTGGATCAACGTGCGACCAAACCTGCCATCCAATGGCGCATTGGACCTAATGCGGGGGGAAAACGATTTGTGCAGGCAAAATGCAACTGTTGCTGCCAGGCTCCACTCGAGACGTGCGCTCAACCGCCATGACACCATCAGGCACATTTGGCCTTACTCCACTAGGCCACGGTGCAGACTCTTCGGCCATGCAACGGTGTTTGATCGGATTGACGTACAGTGGGGTAGGGTGGTAAATATCCTGTATGGAGGCCCACAGCGGAGCGGAGAGCGCATTGGGGTCGTATTTTTCCCCAGCTGCAGCTATAAGTAATAACGAGGGGACCCCATGTGTTCGTCTGGCGCTTGTTGATTTACGTCTCTCCTGCAACGACAAGGAGCTCTAGCAATATGGCCACAGCGTACGAGGGAGAGAAGATATCTGCGCATGATGCGGCTCAGATCTCGGAGCACCACACAAAACCCAGCGCTGTTGCCACCATGGATCCCGAAAGAAGGAGGCAGGTTGAGAAGTCGCTGAAGCGCAAGTTGGATGTACGATGCTCGCTTTTCGTGCTGATCTACATTATGAACTGTAGGGGATTTTCCAGATATGCGGTCGCATGCTTGGTATTTGGTGCTGACTATTACTACCAGATCTCGACCGAAACAACATTGCTGCAGCGCGTCTGGGCGGTCTTGAAGAAGATCTCGGTCTCACTCCCACGCAATACTCGACATGCCTGAGTATTCTCTACGTCGGCTATATTCTGATGCAAGTCCCATCGAACATGATTATCAACGTGATACCCCGACCATCGCTCTACATTTCAGTCGTTATGTTGGTATGAAACCTCTTGTCGTACCATATCGCAAAGTCACCTCGCTAACGTTGCCTTTTTTTAAATAGCTTTGGGGAATGATCAGTACGCTGAGCGGTAACGTCAATAACTTCAGTGGCATGGTCGCCATTCGCTTCTTCATTGGATTCGTCGAGGCAGCTTTCCTGTAATTTCCCCCCGTTACCGCCTTTCCGCGTAGTTAGAGCGAAATTAACATGACGAATTCTAGGCCGGGAGCATTGCTCATCCTCTCCAAATGGTATACCAGACGCGAACTCACGCTTCGCAATGCCATTCTTTTCTGCGGAAACCTCATCTCGAACGCCTTTTCGTCTCTTGTAGGCGCGGCTGTTTTGGGCAACATGGAGGGAACTTTGGGCCATGAGGTGAGTAAAATAATCCGATCAAGTATCCTTTTTGTATTTAAGCGAATACTGACATACAAACAGGCTTGGAGATGGCTTTACTGGTAGGCACTGGAAATTTTCAAGTAAAAGTTATATACAACTAATACAGAGTTAGGATCGAAGGAGCAGTAACAATGCTCATTGCCATTTCCGCAGCATTCATCCTCCCCGATCTCCCCCACAACACGCGCGGCTTCACCGAAGAAGAACGCGCCGTTGCCGTTCTCCGAATGACTGAAGATGTCGGTGAAGCCGACAAAGACTCGGAAGAGCAATCCCCCTTTGCAGGCTTCTTCATGGCCGTCAAAGACATCAAAATCTACATTTTGATGATCACATTCACCGCCTACGTCACCGGTCTCTCCTTCAACGCCTACTTCCCCAGCTTAACCAAGACCCTCGGATTCGGCTACATCACCACGCTGCTCATGAGCGCCCCACCGTGGGCTTTTGCCTGTGTCGTGAGTCTGATTAACGCGTGGCATTCGGATCGCCAGCAGGAGCGATGCTGGCACATTGTCGGACCCATTTGCGTTGGCATCGTGGGATTTGTTATTTCTATGGCTACATCAAATACGGCGGCGCGATATGTAGCACTGTTCCTGCAGGCGTCGTCATATGCGGGCTTCATCGTTTTCTACTCGTGGATCTCGTCGTCGTTTCCCCGTCCACCGGCAAAGCGCGCGGTCGCTATCGCTATGATTAACGCTTTCAGCCAACGTACGTATTCATCTGACATGTTAGTATGTACCCGAGAAAGAACACAGCACTAACGATTCTCGCTCTTCTAGTGGGTAACATTGCCGGATCCTACGTGTGGAACATGGCGGCGAACGGATACAGGAACAGCTACGGCGTTGTCACGGCCATGTTTGGTGCTACGATTATCGGATGTCTAATTTTTAGATTTATTCTCATTCGTCTTAACAAGCGGTTGGATGAGGGGGCCGATGCGTGGGTTGTGCATGGCGATGTTGCCGAGCAGACTGCGGCTACCGAAGGTGTGAGTGTGGAAGAAGGCAAGAAGATGATGGCTGGGTTTAGGTACTTGGTGTAAGAAAATCTTCAAAGAGGAATGGATCAAGATGCATAGCTCGATATACTCTGAAATGAGATATTTAATGTATTTGTCTCAATGTTGCTTGATAGAATTAGTGGTAGCGAGACACCTGTAATGATCAAGAATTTCAGTCACTGCGTTTGTTGAACTTTTTTTTTGAAAAGTTTCTTTATTTTTTTTATAAGGGGGGAGCTACAGATCTAATCACTGACGTCACCTGTAAGAGTACAACCTTACGCGCCCTCTTCTTCGTTTAGCCTGATGCCTCTCTCAACCAGCCCTTCGATCCACGAGTTGAATTCCTCTCTCATCTCGGCTGGGATCACGTGGCCTTGTCCCTTGATAAAGTGTTTCTCAATCTCACCTTGTTGCCAGACATCTTCTTCTTCCTCAATGCCTAGCCAATTTTCCTTGCCCGTTACGCCCTCGCCTTTCTCAAGACCCCTCCACAAGACTACGCCCAAGGGAAAAGTCAACATTTGGTCCTTTGTGCCATGGACAACCATGATTCTCTTCTTCCCAATTGTCTGGGCAAGCTGCTGCAGTTGCTGGGGGCTCTTGTAATGCCAACCAGCTGCAATGGCCTGCAGAATGAAGGGTGCTTTGGAAAAGTACTCTGGGTGCTCGCGTTTCCACATTTCATTTGCAGCAAAGCGGTCCCCATTGGTCGGGAAGGCCTGGATGACAGGCTCCAGGTTGTCTGGCGCGTCCAGCCATTCTTGGGTATACAGATTCTTCTTGACGCCTTCAATCTGGGTATCAAGGGACTTGGGTATGAAGAGATTGGCACGGTTCCAGAGGTTTTCTAAGAAGCCCTGCATGGGTCAACTCGTGTGTGGGTTGGCCAGGTGGCAGCAATTGCGGGACCTACTGTGGTTCTGAAGAGATGTGCAGCTGTTGATACAAGCGACAGGGTGCATATGCGTTCTGGTATCAACATTGCCTATGTCATGGTCAGCACTAAGCCATCTCACAGTCTCTTTGCTTATCAGGAAGATTTTTTTTCGCTCAAGTCTTGTCGACCAACACGTAATGGTATCACGGCAATGCAGGCGTTGCCTGGCGAAAGTGTACGGGAAGAGCCGTGTACAAAGAGGAGCGGAGGGCGTATGAACCGCTGAGATTACAGGGCGAGGCATGGTGTCAGAGAGGATGATGTCGTTTTTTGAGGCGTTTGGCGTCTGCAGCTGGGGTGTATGTGTGTCGGTTGACGGAACGCCGCGTATCCGGTGTCTGATGGTTGGAGACGGTCGTTGAACGCCTAATGATGCAAAATCAAAATAAAAAAAAAACACGACTCACAATCTCCTGGGCGATCATTCCGCCCATGCTGATTCCGATAACGTGCAGATCGCGTTTGGCGGTCCAGCCAACGTGGTCAATGACCTCAATCAGGTCCTTTGCCATTTCGGACGTCGAGTATCTCGACGTGGGCTTATCCGAATCACCGATACCACGGTTGTCGGTCACCAGGCACGAGTACTCGTCGCCCTTTGCATGGCCAAAATCCTTGGTCTGGCGCTGCCAGGCATACTTCATGCCTCCCAGGCCCATGACCCACTACATGATGTTAAATCTCTGGAGGCTGTGTCGGAGAGTAAAATAGAAAAAAAGAGATGTCGGCATGTTCAGCGACCTGAGACGCCGGGCAGATGTTGAGACGACAAATGCAACCGAAACGAAACGGTGACAGGAGAGAGGTGATGATAGCTGCATGCCTGAGGTGGCACCCATGTCGAAGGGTCGAGAGTAATACCGAGAGGTGGGGCCACTTACTACCAGGTGTCGAGGGCCATTGCCGTGAACCTCGTAGGCGACATTAAAGGGCCCGCCTCGATCTTTGGCAACGGGTACCTTTCCTTGGCTTTGGGGTGTCAGTTGCCAGACGATGTGGGGGTATTCTGGGTGCTGGGGTAGCTCTTGGGCAGTCATTGGTGCCATGGCTGGGCGTAAGCTGGTGGGGGTGGACGCGGGTTAGTTAGTGTAGTGTATGCGTGTTATAGTGGTAAGTAAGTAGCATGTCGGTGTAGCGCAGTAGTAGTAGTGCCATTGTGCATAGTGGTGGCGCAGCGAGAAAGGACTTGTGGCGTAGTGGGCGGTAGCAGGTTGCGTGGGTGGTGCATGGATGGATGCTGTTTGTGTATATGGGAGGCAGGACAAACTTACGGGGCGATCGTAGTATACTTGGCAGTAGTATTAAGGTACAAGATGCGTAATGTGCAGACAGAGAGAAAGAGTTTGGGGGTGGGGAATGGATTGTGCGACAACGACTCGGACCAGAAGTGGCGGACGTCATTTGTGTTGGCTGGGCCGGGCTGCGACAGTCAGCCTCAGGTGGCAGTGGATGCGATGCGCACCTGCGTTTCACCTTTCGCCAGCAACTGGCGGCCCCTACGCATACTACGCATGACCCCCCGCCGAGCCGATCCGCCCTCTTGCTCCCTGCATGGCCTCCCCAAACACGACGACGGCGGCGACGACGAAAAAAAACAACGACTACCACGATTTTGATTTCCTGACGATTGCAACGATCAATTCCTGTCCCTAACGACACTGTTGCCGGCGCTGCCGTCTGCAGCCACAACCACACGCACAGCCACACTCACTGCGACTACTACTACGACCATCACTAATACCACCACGATCACGCCAGAGCAGTAACGACAATCTCCACTCCACACCTCCGCCATGGACCCCTCACACTCCGGCTTCTACGTCGGCGGCACTCCCATGATGAATGCCCAGCCGCCGCGCATCTTTGGCAGCGGCACCTTTGACGCCTCGCAAATGCCCTCTGGCAGCATGTTTGCTCACGACGACTTGGACGACCACAATGATGGAAGCGATGCCAAACGGCGCCGGATCGCACGGGTACGCACTCTCGCCCGCCCACGCAGCCACACGCACAGCTGGACGCGGCATCCCATGTTGGTGCTGACTGGTGCTGCAGGCATGCGACATGTGTCGCAAAAAGAAGATCAAGTGTGATGGCAAGATGCCTTCGTGTACACATTGCCAAAACTACAAGACCGAGTGCATATTCACCCAGGTCGAGAAGAAGCGACAGCCGCCAAAGGGGTGCGTTCCTCCCCTCTCCCTGCTACAGCTACTGCATTGCCCCCATGTGCGACACGACAACTAGCTGACTGCGCCTAGCGCCAAGTACATCGAGGGTCTCGAGAACCGCCTCGCCCGCATGGAGTCGCTCATGCGCCTCTCCGGTGTCCTCCCCGAAGACGACGATGGCAGCACAGACCTGGCCACGCTCGAGAAGCGGCTCGAGGCACGCGCCGGACGGTCGGCTACCCCCAGAACAAGCAGCATTCACGAGCGGAGACCCTCCGTAGCACCCCACTCCGCCCCATCAACGGCCGACGATGCGCCCACACAGCCAGCCCTACCCAGCCCTACGAGTGGAACAACTTCTCCCAGTCCCGACGACCAACCTACCGAGCCAAAGGACAAGGACGAGGACGCCCTGGCCGAGATGATGTGCTCCTTGGTCACAAACAACTGCGGCGAGACAAGATATATCGGTATGTCTTGGCCCACAACCATGCCTACATGCCTACTCTTTACTAATCACTAACACGCGTAGGTTCCTCGTCTGGCTTCTCCATATTCTCGCCCAAGGGTATCCAATGGGTCAACGACAAGACGGGCGACAACTCGTTCCGTGACATGATCTCTACAGCTGCTGTCGAGGACAACAAGTGGATACAATGGCGACCAGATGTCTTCCAGGACATCTTCAAACGGCGCGTCTATAAGCAGTTACCACCCAAGCACGAAGCCATGTCCCTGCTCAAGGATTATTTTGAAAACTTCAACTGCATGTTCCCTCTATTTCACGAACCCACCTTCATGCATCTAGTCGACAAACATTACTCCAAAGACCCCTACGAAGGCTCCGGCTGGTGGGCAAGTTTGAACGTAGCCTTGGCTTTCGCTCATCGACTACGCGTCATGAGCAATCTCGTGCCTGCAGAGGAGGACGAAAAGGCTTGGCAGTATCTGAAGAACGCAATGAGCGTCATGGTCGAGCTCACTATGCGCAACACTGACTTGCTCAGCGTGCAAGCTTTGTTAGGGGTGGTAAGTGACTCAAAGTAATCCAGTCCCTACCACTCATCCGCCTAACATTGTACAGGGTCTCTTCTTGCTGGGAACACCCAATCCCCAACCCACATATTTCTTCGTCGCGACTGCTATGCGGCTAGCACACAGCATTGGTCTCCATAAGAAGGGCGCCAATTTCAGCCTCAACGCCGCAGAAGTTGAGCAGCGAAGACGTGTCTTCTGGATTGCCTACATGCTTGACAAAGAGTGAGCCCCAGACTTCATCCATCTGTTTCTTTGTCTACTTTACTGACCCTGCAAAGCATCTGTCTGCGTTCTGGTAGACCCCCAGTCCAAGATGATGATGACATGAATGTCGAGCTGCCAAGCGAGACGCCACCCGATAATATCGGCAATATCCCACTCGCTGACGGCAAGGGCACCATGAACCTCTTCCGTCTCATGTGCACCTTTGCCGTTATCCAAAGCAAGGTCTACAAGGGCCTGTACTCAGTCAAGGCGTCCAAGCAAACCGACGGCGAACTTCTTAACACCATTGGCGAGTTGGACAAGGAACTCGAAGCCTGGAAAGACGGCATACCCCTCGAGTTCCGCCCAGAACATGACATCAAAGCATCACACACGCCCCTCATCCTCCAGGTTGCCGTGCTACACCTCGGCTATTACAACTGCTTAACTACTATCCATCGTATGAGTGTCCACCACGGATATTGGACCAGCCGACTCTCAAACTTTGCCATTCAAGGTTTGAATGCACGACCCCTGAACCCCAGGGTCTTCATGTCGGCCCAGCTCTGTGTGCAGGCTGCTCGTGCGTCCATTCACTTGCTCAAGTACATACCAAAGGGCGACTTGTCATGTGTTTGGCTAGTGATATACTTCCCCGTCACAGCACTCGTCACGCTCTTTGCAAATATTCTCCAGAATCCACAGGATACCCGGTCGCGATCCGATCTCAAACTTATGAAGTTGGTCGTCAACTTCTTAAATATGCTCAATGACGAACAAGGGAGTGGCAGCGTGAAGCGCATGTGTACTGTTTGCGCCGAATTTGAGCGAATTGCAGCCACGGTGTTGGAAAAAGCTGATCGCGAACATGCATCGCGGCGGAAGAGAAAGCAAGGCGACAGCGAACAAGACGCACAGATTGAAGCGACCGCTGCCGAGTTACTCTCAACTGGCCGTAACAATCACTCATCACCGCAGCAGGCAGCTACACCGCAAAACACTAATGCATCCGAGGGCTTGATCTTCAACCCAGACTTCCACGGCTTCAATGAGGTATGTTTGACCAGCCTTTGCGTGACACAAAGCTAACATTTTCAGCCATTTCCCTTCTCGCCAAACTTTACCCATGCATCATTGCAGCCCAACGTCCAAATGAGCCAGTATGGCTCACCTGGCATTACCGCACAAATGCTACAACAGGGGCAAAGTCTACCCATGACAAATAGTGGTGACGTGAGCGGCATAAGTTCCAGCATCAATGCAATGGCTGCCATGGGTCAGTTTGAACAGAACTTTAACAACGTTCCGCAAGATTTATGGAAAATGCCTATGACACTTGAATGGGATTGGGCAGATATGACCGGCGGCTTCTCGAGTTACGAGGACGGTATAAGCACGAATGGTGTTCTTCCAGACTTTGCAAACAACACTGGCCATGGAACGAGCGAATTCAACCAAAGTGCCATGAACGGCGGACGCCGATGACGGGACTTATGATCCGTTGTCACACAGACTTGCTTTTTCAAAAAATGTACAACATACACGATTACGTGGCTTAGGTTGGTGTCACAAGGGCACTTTATCATGGCCAAGGAGTTGCTTGTTGGATCCTTTCAGGGACTTTTGTCAGCATGCTGCATTTTCCAACTGCAAATAATACCACGGAAGCTCATGATCCTAGATTTTAAGTATCAGGTATACAGGTTTTGTAATATATACAACACATCTATTGTGCTCGGCGCTTGTCCGATGGTGGCTTATGCGCGCGCCCACGCCGAGTGGAAACTAACACCGGTGGTCTTCGTCGGCGCCAGACTAGGGCGCGCCACCAAGGCATAGTTGTAAGATCTTCAATGTACGGTTTCGTGGCTATGATGCTGCATATTTCTTGTTCCGATCTACATATACTTAATTGTTCATCTTGTCGCTCGCCTGTCTCCTCTATTTCAGTGCTGGCATGTTCGACTTGTCCTGCCTGCAACTACTACCACCGTGCCGTTTGATACAGCTTTCAGTGAATCACCATGCTCAACATTACAGCCTTATTGTCCACCCTGATCACGGCAAACCATATCTTGTCATACCACAATGTGCTTGATTCGTTTGGTCATGTCAGTGTCCGTAACCCCAAGACAAACACGGCCTTTTTCATCGCATTACAGCTCGGTATATAAACATTTCAATTTCTGTGATGCGTCTCTGCTTCCATACTTTTTGTATGCGATTACTTCTTCTCACACTTTCCCAGGCCCGGCGGTAGTCTCTGGTCCCTCAGACATTGGCGAGTATCTGATCTCAGATGGCTCGCCAGTAAACGGCACTTCAGGTGGCTACGCGGAGCGCTATATCCATAGCGAGATTCTCAAAAGATATCCGGATGTGAATGCCGTTGTACACAGCCACGCAGAGGACGTCCTTCCCTTCACCGTCATCGACACACCACTTGAGCCAGTCTACCACATGGCAGGTTTCCTTGGCGCCTCGGTTCCTATATTCGACATCGAGAGCGCGTACCAAGAAACCGATCCACGAGACTTACTCGTCAACAGCCCCAGATTAGGTGCGGCACTCGCACAAACTTTTGGCGTCAACGAAACCCAACCCACCAGTCCATCACACACTACGGTTCTGCAGCGCGGTCATGGTTTCGTCACTGTAGGAACGAGCATCGAGCAGGTCACGGATTTCGCCTACTATGCTGCCAGTAATGCTCGCGTTCAAGCAAAGGCACTTTTATTGGCAAATGCTGCGCAGGGTGCCGGTGGTGTACATTACTTGAGCGGGCAGGAAAGAAAGGCTACGGCTGAAATGAATTCGTGGATTGTTTTCAAGCCGTGGAAGCAGTGGGTGCGCGAGGTGGAGAGAAGCGGGAGATTTGTAAATGAGTTGGGGACGCCACCTACGGGTGAAGCGTAAACTGCGAATTACATGTTTATGGCAATGATAGGGGTGTATTGATCATTTGTATATACCCAAGTTGATACAATCATGTTAGCAAATCCCAGAGTTCGTGATGCAAATCATGGTGTTGAGGTTTGGCCCACAACGCACGTGGCGCTAGCGTGCCGCAGCTGCATACAACGACGTCAACGCAGTTTCGCATCCCGGAATCTTGCGCCCGAATCTCCTTGCCTTTTATTTATTTCGTCCCACCGCTTTCTCTGTGCTACGGCTTCAGGATACAATCTAGGAAGCCGTGCTCCTGAACACATACACACAGTTCCCGGCCCTCCACAGATAACGACTATCGGTGCACGCGACCACATACAGCACTAGCGGCGTGATCGGCTTGCGCGTGCCTAACTCAAGACCGCTTGTCGTCGGCGGTACCCATTTGTTCCCTCAGATCCTCTCTCCTGCCTCGCCCACGTCTTGCCAGCAATGCCGTCGCTCAAAATCTCCATTCCGGAGACGCACGAAGAGACTCCTGAGAACGGCAAGGCGTATACAGCCTACACCATCAAGATTGAGCACCCCTTTCCGCGCGCGGCAACCACCACATCCAAACGCTACTCTGACTTTTGCGCTCTGGACAGCGCACTCCGCTCAGAAGTCGGCGCTGCACCACCCACGGCGCTGCCCCCTAAATCATGGCTTGGCGGTTTCCTTGGCCTAGGCAACACCAGCAGCTCGCCCGAAAGCATTGAAAAGCGACGTGCAGGCCTCGAAGCCTACCTGCGCGCCATTGAGACAGCAGAGGACGGGCGGTGGCGCGTTTCCAAAGCGTACAAGACGTTTCTGGGGCTGGGCGACAAAGATACAAGCAACGGGAAGAAGGCTAGCAACCTGCCTGGATCGCAGTTTGGCAAGGACAGAGTGAGAGATAGTTCGGACTGGCTAGACAAGCACGCCGAGCTCAAGAGCAACCTACAAGACGCCCGGCGCTGGCTGACGAAGCGCGAACAAGCCACCGCCGCCACAGCGCAACACGAAGCCGCCGCAAACGCAAAGAAGAGCCTCGTCCGCGCGAGCACCCTCATCTCCGCCCTCGACGAAGGCCTCGCCCGCCTCAGCGGCCCCAGCACCGACGAATGGAGCGGCGAGAAACTCGGCCAAGGCGAACTCCGCAGACGAAGAGACGTAGTCAGCGGCCTCCGCAAAGAACGCGACGGCCTCGAATCCGTCCTCAACAGCATGGCCGTCAAAGCCGCAATGTCCGGCTCAGGCTCCTCATCCACCCCCTCCACCTCCTCCGCCGCAGTCACCGAGTCCCAAAAAGCAGGTCTCTTCAAAGGCGCCGCCTCCGCCAAACCCTCTGGCCGCCGCGTCCTCGGCGCCCCTGCACAGGAAACAGATCGAACCCGCGAACTAGACAACGAGGGTGTCCTGCAACTCCAACAGCAAATCATCAAGGAGCAAGATGAGGATCTTGTGGATCTAACGACGATCGTGCGCCGTATGAAGGATATGGGCGTCCAGATTAATGCGGAGCTTGTAGAACAGAATGCTATGCTTGGTTTGTTTGAGGAGGACGTCCAGCGTGTTGATGGTAAGATTAAAATTGCGAAGAAGAGAATTGAGAAGATTAGGTAGTGGGGGGGGGTGGATGTTTACCGCATGCATAGTGGATTGTTTGCATTGTTTAGGGGAGGGGTCTGTCTGGATCATGCTTTTTGTCTCTTTGTTGAACATGGCTCTATCATCACATGTATGGAGAGTTGTTGTTTTTTTTTGGGTTAGCCAATGGCGTTTTTTTTTTCGTTTCGAAAACGGGACATGAGAATATCTAGGTTAATGTAATGAATGATACCCCTATTTTTTTGGCATTGATAATCTATCAGTGGTTGGGTACGAGGGACTTGAATGATATTTTTCAGACAGTTTGCAAGTTTAGTTGAACATACATGTGTGGAAATAGTTAAATCCAAAAAAAAACAAATACCAACACCATGAATATTAACGAGATTCGTTCATGAAATCAAAAAAGTATCATGTATCCTCAAACTACCAAGGATATATACCCTTTCTCTTAGCATTCCTAATCAGTACCATCGCCCAACCTCAGGGAACTCATATTTCTTGACCGAACCTTTACAATATGATCTACGGCCTCCATCAAATACGGCACAAACTTTGCCGGATTTTCCGTGGCAGGGAAATGGCCCAGGTCAGGCACGGACTTGTGGACTGCACCCGGAATCTTGTCTGCCGTTTTTTGCGACATTTCAGGCGTGTTTGACCAGTCGTACTCGCCCGTCAGCATGTACACGGGGCAGCTGGCCGTATCGATGGATGCGACGCGGGATCGGCCGTCCCAGCCGCCAAAGTAGAAGTCGAGGTCGCCATGGAAGATCTGGATAGAGATTAGATGGGTGTCGGATACCCAGGAAGCGGACTTTGGAATTTCCATACCCCGTAAGCTTGAGCACTGTATGTATGCCATATCAGTTGTTTATTTGCCTTGGGCGTAGTGGGAGCCATCATCTAACAAAGCGTAAGCTCACATCTTTTTCTCTACTCAGATATACTCGTAACGCACGCCGTAAACCCACTCCGGGTTGAACAATGACTGATTTACGTATGGAGAGCGATCGTTCCATTGACGCTCCATGTTGAGATATTCGGAACTGCAGCTATTATCAGCTTGGGAAGTTTGCCATAGTCTGAATCTTTTGCTTACCCTTGCAGAGGAATAGTACCAATTGCACCGACTTCTCTGTGACGAATAGCAACTGCAAGGCATACCTGACCGGCCATACTGGCACCGCAGATGATCGGCCTGCGCAGACCCAACTTCTTTACAAAAGCAGCAATGATGCCCACATAGCTGTCTTCGGTGTTTGTATGTGCCGAGGCATTCTTGGTCGGGAAGCTGCGTCCATGGCCGGGCAAGTCAAACGCAAACATGGTACACTTTTTACGCATCCGTATGTCGTTCATGACACCATGATACTGTCGACTGTCGCTGCCGGCGGTATGCAAAAAGATGATGTTTTGCTTGCCTTCGCCCGAGTATTCGTAAAAGACCTTGCTGTATCACCAAATTGCAATGTCAGTATGCCGTATATATATCGAGTTGCAAAGGAAACCTGCGTACCAGCGGCCCCAAACCGGAGCTTCCAGATATGTGTACTTCCCGGTAAGAAAATCGTTGTCGATTTCAGCCTGCTCCTCCTCGGCGAGTGGACCGCAGTGGGCTTCGTGAATGAGTTCAAGGACGCGTCTCCAGACATGAGTCCATTGTGCATAGGCCGTCTGGTCGCCCAGAACCTCGATGCCTTTTTGCTTAATGTTCATGCCAAACATGCCCCAGTAGCTCTGGTAGGGCGTGGCTGGGACCGGTTTGAAGTGCTGCTCCCATTGCTCAGGAAGTGCTGAAAGGGTGAATAGGGCGTCCTTGGAAGAGCCATTGCTGACTTTTACGTTGCCGTTGGTAACAGTGACGAGGAGCGTGTTGTCGGAGGCACTTGACTTGATGCCAAACGTCACTGGCTTGTCAATGGCATCTGAAGTGACAAAAGATTTCAGTTGGCTGTCGGATTCAAGGAGCTTGGGAAGCGCGTCTGAAGTTCCCTTCAAAGCTGAAATCAGGTCAGACCAGTCAGCCATGGTGGTTCACGAGATATAATGAAGCCGCTATAAATTCCCGGGACAAACGGAGCAGAAAAGGAGGACAGATGAGGTACAAAGTGACAGCGCCCTCTGGGTATATAACAACGCGTGAATCCTAGCATCACCCGCGCGGAGCTAGCTAGCTACAGAGCTATGGGGAGGGGTAGCCTGCAATGCGGGGTCGGAGATGCACACGTGGGTGTATATCTCGACTTCGCTCGTCATCGTCGCTGGCCCTGACCGGAAACGGACGACTGACTGGTGCCGCGTGTTTTGATGGGCGAGGCGGACAATGGTGGATTCTCTAGCGCAACCGGGTCGAGGTGAAGAGAGGTAGATAGCACTGATACGGCGGTGCTAAGCTCAACTCATCTCAGCGGACTTGATCCCCCGCCTCAACCGCACAGCGCCTATCGCCCACCTTGTTTCAACTCACCAGGACAAACGCAGCACCAAGCATTGAAATTGCACACCGAGTAGAGAAACATGAAAAGAAGTGAGTATTACGATACACCTGGTACGGGTGTGCGAGGCGCCGACTATACATGAGAAAAAAAAAAGAGATGGCGCTTGTTGTTGCGTCTGGTGAATTGCAAGGAATACGTGATTCGCATGTGCTACCGTCGACTGTCCACTCCCCATGCACCGACATCTTATGCGACTCATAACCTCATTTGAAAAAGTAGGAAGTAAACCCCCCAGAAAGTGGTATCCTCGCTCGCGCTTCCAAATGCAAACATGACTTTCCCATATCAGAGCGTGTTCTTGTCCAGATATGCGGGAGACTCGGCAGACAGAGGAGATGACATGGATTCTAAAGAGTCGGTAGGCGTGAACAATGCAACAGATGCCGTGGATCCTGCAGATGCATAATATGAAGCAGACAATGGAGATCCCGTGAGCACGGCGACTCTCAGCACTCCGCCGCCTTGTCGAGATCCAGTCGCGTCTGCAGGGTCGGCACCTTTGGCGGGTCTATTGACTTTGGCAGCTCCAGTAGCCCCAGTGGAGCCGCACCCCCCAGACGTCTCCAACAACGCTTTAGCATCCAATATGACCTGTCTAAGTTCCTTCCGCATCTTGTCCGGGGCATCAGGAGGACCACCGCCCGGCTAAAACGTCTCCTCCTCGACACCCTCAGCCTCGGGTGGAATCTCAAAGCCCTCTTCAGTTGAGTAGAGGATTGTCTGGATTTGCTTAAGCAGACCCTCGTCCTTCTCGAGCTCGGGGTCGGCCTCCATTGCTTGTTGGATCAGGAGTTCGATATCGCGAAGCTTGCTGAAGTAGAAGTCGCGCTCGCGCTCAAGGCCGGTAACGGTCTCCTTGAGTGCCGTATTCTCCTCGCGCAGTGCAGCAGAGGCAGCTCCTCCTCCAGATGCGAGAGGAGTACGTGTTCGGGGAGCGGCAGTGTTACTAGCAGCCGGTGCTCTTCGGGCGGTGGTGGCAGCGCGGGACGCGGGGGCGGCACCAGTGGAAACACCGCCTTGGCCCTTGCGGCGAGCAACGGGGTCGTACTCGTGACCGGGGAAGTGCTGGTCCCAGTATTGCTTGACAAACTGGAGGAATTCGAGATTGTCCTGCATCTTGCACTTGACCAGTGACTCGACGCGGATGGGCTTGTCGATCTGGTGCTTGGCGAACGTGTCTGGCTTGGTTAGCCATGGCAAAGACAGCGGGCAATCCATCATCTGTGGGGGAGAGATGGCATGATGCAGGTGTATGACATACTTTGTAATATCTTGAAGTTTTGCAGATATGCATACTCGGTATTGGCGTTGAACTTGACTCGGCTCATGGGCACATCATCTGCACACTGTTAGGATTAACGGCACTCCCACGACAGGCAAATTGGGATCCATACAGAATATACTGTCGAAGACCTGGCATAGTGCTGCTCTGTACCCAAAAATCAGTATATGCGCTTCCAAGTGTCTCGTCCCGAGGCCGTGGCGGCTCGATGCATCGCGAGCAGGAGACGTACCCGGTACCGCATTGTTCGACCTTTGTGATGTTGAGCTGGAGAAGGTTATTCAACCAAGCGACGAGTTCTTGTCTGCGCGTGTTTCTGTCAGTTTGTGTTTGTCGTATGGGGCGACGTGCCCCCCAAGGGTGACGAGTGTCTGGCAGGAGCCTGAACCCCACTTGGACAGGCGTACCTTGATTCTCCCATGGCGAATATCTAAGTATGGTTGTCGGAGATAATGTTGTTGGATGATCGGCGATGGGCTAAGAGCATGCGAGGGTAAGGGGTGTGGAGGCTTGGGGATGGATAGATGGTCGCCGTCGAGATTGCTGTTATTTGTTGATGCGCCCTCGCTCATCGGCCGCTCGACATTTTGGGCTGCTGCCCCACGACCCTTTTAGCGCCCTGTCGGTGCGTCTGGTCACGTGACTTCCCCTTTCACCTTTGCTTCTCCATGCACGCTCGCAATCACGCACTTCTCTCAAAACTCACGTGTGCAATACTGCCAGAATACCTTCTCTGATGCTATTTGTCATGCAAACTTGTAGTGCCATGTCTAGAGAACACCTATATTCTATATGTATCTGTGTACATTGCCATTGATCGCCAGTTCCGCTTGGATCACCTCCGTCTCGTGCACAGTATACTCTGCAAATTTGCTCCTCACCGTCTCTTAGTCGCCAGCCTTGGCATCCCCTGGATGGTTTGGGTCGACAGCTTCCCTTAGCTTAGAGTTTACGTCGAGCGATGTATACTGGCTTACCACCCAGAGAAAGCTCTTGATTTGGTTGAGACCCTATATCTAAACAACAATCGCATGGTTGAGCCCTTGAACCCTAGAGTTGTAGTTTTCAGACTCAATAGCAATGATCGGTGCCGCCTATCGATACTTGAGCCTAGCTCTCTGCATGCTCTCGGTCATGTCCACTGTCCTTACGACGGTTTTCGTCTTGGGACTCCAAGGGCGCATGGTGTTTACTAGCTTGGCGAATGCAACGATAATGTCTGCGACGTCCTTTTTCTGTTGTACATCAGTCTCCAAATGTATGGTGATCACTACGGCTGACATTGCCTGCAACCACATAGTCGGCTGATTCTTGTTGACCATGCCCAGCGCCGAAAACCTTCAAGGGGTCTAGCTGTTGCTGTCGTAGCCCCAGGACCTGTGGTTATTTTCATCCCAATACTCCCGACCGGATTTACACTCGTTCATTCATGGAGCCGAATACACTGCCAGAGCTTGCTGGGTCCACAGATCATTTTCGTGATGCTGTCACCAAAGAGCATTCCAAGTACACCGGATTATACCGCCCTCGGCTAGGGCCGGCAGGACTGTGACGACATTGTCAAGAAATGAGAAACGCCAAAGGTGCCAAGTCAGCAGCTCCAGACGCGTCGCGCAGAGGTAAGCCCGGAATAGAACGCTGGAGAGGTTGCCCCGGGGCAGACTGGAACCAAAAACAAAACGGCAATTGCTTTGTACTCTAGACTGAGTCGGCGTTGGTCACGTTGTGTCAAAGTCTAAATTTTGCCGGATGGATAGCATGATGTCGTCGGCTGAATAAACAAAACCTGTGAGGAGAACGGAACGTTTTGGAATGCGTCTGATGGGATCGGGAGAAGAATGCGGTTCTTGTAAGTAGAATGCGATTGGTAGCAGTAGCGTGTAGTGTCACCGAGCGCGATAGGAATGGCCGACGCGAGGTTAAGTGTTCGCGTTATTTGCCGTCATCTTGGAAGAATGTTAGCGGTTGAGGAGACGATCCGGTTTCCGCGGGGTATTCGGCATCGTGGATTGTTTTTATGCAATGATTTATACCTCATGGCATTGTGCGTTCCCTGCAGCACCACCATACGAAAAGTTAATTTCGGACGAATCTCCGCCACGACTCATGGCTAGCCCTGCAGCTGCGGTAAACGTGTTAGTAACCAGCACATCCTAGTGTGCGTTGTTTCTAGACTTGGGCAGAAGCAAGTTGGCGAAGAAAAAGGAAATTGGGAAGAAGAGAACTAATTACGAGAGTATGTGTGGAATGATCGAAGTGATTGACCATACTACTAGGATGCTGGTATGCATGTAAACATGCAAACTTAGTCTAGTAACATTCTTCCCGGGAGGAAGCCAAAGGCGAATTATTCAAGAAAGCAAGAGGCAAGAGAGGATTAGTCCGCGGACGTGGAGATGGATACTTACTTGGTTAACTACATGCATAGAGATGTAGGTTTTCTAGACGAGGCAGGTGGTCAGGTCAGATGAGATGAGCTATAGTTCCAAGGCCGTTGGACTAGTATGTAGACAACGGCTAGGATACCGGCGCCAACAGTAATAATTCTAGGGCTGACCGAGAAAGGGCCGTGGATCATCTCAGCTGAGGCGGTGCAGCGCCCAGTTGTCGATCCGGATGAAGTTGATAGCCGCAATAGGGCCGTTTTCTTGGCCAAGGTTGGAATGTACATGCGGAAATGTGTACTTAAATGTTGGTACCACAACCATTGACAAGGGGAGTGTTTGCGAGAAGAGAAGACCGTTGAAGCAGTGAGCTGGCGAAGCCGTCAGATGCGCAGTGACTTGTGCGCAAAAGCATGTCTACGTGCCGAAACGTTTCCCGCATTCATGGTGGAGTCAAGTGCAGCGAGCAGCTGCAGGGTGACGCGGCTCGAGAATCAGGATGGGCTTTTTACATGCAGATGGTAGTGGCAAGCTCAGCGTGTGTATAGTTACACTTGGTTGGGTCGATGTTGAGAGATAGACCATGGGCCAGGGATGCCGATGGTGTTGAAAGGGGAAGCGAACTTGGTGGTACCGATTGAGGTAGCCGTTGGCAGGCACCCACCGGAGAAGATCCGACGCCAGATGCAACGGGGGAAGGGTTGGGGACAAAAAAGCAAGCTATTACTACAGCAAAAGGCGAGCTGGGGGTGCAAGTTGGCAAGTGTTGACGGTAACGGTGCGGGAGTGTAAGACAACGGGGGGATGGTAGTACTACGGAGTTGAGACAGTTGGAGGCAGGAGGAGAGTGGCAGCCCTTGGCACGGACCATAAACACCAAGAAGAGACGGCGGCGGCAGCCAGCGGCAGGTAGCGTGGAGCGTATGCGCCTATATTGGGACGGCGAGACTATCGATCGTGACGACGATGGTGATGATGGTGATGATGATGGCGGTGGTGTTTTTGAGGATGACGGTGATGCAAGAACGCGCGGAGTCGATGATAAGAGAGGCGCAGCGTCACCGGCGGACTGTGGACGAGACGGCACCAAGGCCAAGACGGCAGGTTTTTGCTGTCTGGCTTCGTAGTCATCCATCAGTCAGCCCCCCCGTCCTCTCTCTCCGCTCAGTCCGCCCAGCCCAGCCCAGCCAGGCCCAACCCTAAACCATCCCACGCCTCCTCGCTTCGCGCTGCTTCGGGCGTTTTTCTTCTGCCAATTGTCCAAAACACCCGCCGCCCCATTGGCCAGCCACGAATTGCTTACTTGTTTGGCCCTGCACGCGAGCCACCGCCATGCGGCAGGGCCAAGTCGCATGGTTCCTTTGACATGACGCGTACCGCCGACACGCTGCGAGTTGTCTTGTTTTCTCTCACCTCTACTTACACAGCCCGAGCACAAGCTCACGGCTCTCCGCAAAGCCGCCGTCCCCGGCCTGTATCCTCGAATCACAGCCGGCCATGCGTACATCCCCCGGAGCCTGCCCTATACCAAACCGCCCGAACACAGGGTGCAGAGCCTGAGAGCACATGCGTAGCCCCATTCTTTTGTCAGCACTCCCTCTTGGGATCTCTTCGTGTCCCAAATAGCCAGTAATCTCATCAGTGATTATAAGCTCTTGGTTCACGCCCTCCAAAGTCACTACAAGACGATACATCTCTTACTCACTGTACACCTACTCCACCCCCTCGGACCGCCCCCCTCTAATTGCTTCTTCACATTCAATTGCATCCTTTGAGATCATGAGAGGCTTTTCAAGAGCATCAGCCTTTGGCCTCACGGCATTGGGTTCGTACTTACTTGCCCATCACCATTCACCTCTACAATTAGACTAACCCGCCTCAGCCTCTCTTGTCTCTGCTCAAGTCGCAAGCGTCTGCCCATCCACAGGAGTTTGCTACAAGCTGAACATTCCCCAAAACACAGCTTCTTCTGGCTCGGGAGACATCTTCTTCCAGATCCAAGCACCCAGCAACTATGAGTGGGTTGCACTTGGTCAGGGAAGCGGCATGGCCAACTCCAACATGTTCGTTGTCTACACATCTGCAAGTGGAAACAACGTCACTCTCTCACCCCGACACACCACCAGCTATTCACCTCCAACCTTCAACTCGGATGCCCAAGTCACATTACTCGAGGGCTCTGGTGTATCAAATGGCGTCATGACTGCCAACGTCAAGTGTAAGTCGCAATATTAGAATATGCTCAAACCAAACCAAAGTGTCTTCTTTACTAACAGTAAATACAGGCTCAAACTGCAACAGCTGGTCAGGAGGTACCATGGACTTCAAGTCCGGAAGTGGCAACTGGATCTACGCCTTCCAGAACTCCGGCGGACCCCTGAACACCGACGACACTTCAGCCCAGATTAACCAGCACTCCGGCCACAGCGCCTTCAACTGGGACTTTGCTCAAGCCAAGGGTGGTTCCAGCGTCAACCCCCTCATCGCTACCACCTCAACTGGCACCACCCCCAGCAATGGCAATGGCAATGGCAATGGCAACACCAACTCCGGCATCACAACCATCCGCCCCAGCGGCGCTGTCACCAACCGCCGCGAAAAGCTCATTGCCCACGGCGTCCTCTCTTCCCTTGCGTTTGTCATCTTTTTCCCTACCGGCGGTATCGCCATTCGCCTCGTCTCCATGACCGGCATGGTCTGGATCCACGCCGCATTCCAGATCTTTGGCTACATGACCTATATTGCCGGCGCCGGTCTTGGCATCCACCTCGCCTGCGGCCTCAAGCGGACTGGACACTACCATGCCATCATCGGTATGATTCTCCTTGGTGTTCTCTTCTTCATGCCTATCCTCGGATACATGCACCACCTTTTCTTCAAGAAGGTCCAGAACCGCACCATCTGGTCGCACGCTCACATCTGGGTCGGTCGTATCTTCATCACTCTCGGCATACTCAACGGCGGCTTTGGACTCAAACTCGCTGACTGCTCCAACTTGAGCTCCCGCGCTGGTCAAATCGTCTACGGTATTGTTGCTGGTCTTATCTGGTTTGCATGGGTCGGTGCCATTGTCATTGGCGAGAAGAAGAGAAGCAGCTCACTTACCCAGTCTGGATCCAAGCTCGCCGACGAGCGTGCCAACTCGGATGGCACTGCTGTTGATGTCAATGGACACTATGGCCACAAGCAGCAACAGTAGAAGATGGATTAGTTAATCACTGTCAAAGTACAGCATGCGTTGAGAACTTGATACGATATGGGAGTGTTTAATTGGCGTAAATGGCAACAATGTATAGAGTGCTTATAGTACAAGATTAATCTTGACAATCTTGACTTTTAGAGTGTTTGTCTACATGAGTGATGCCAAGAAACTTATCAACTACTACTACTAACTCGAGTCATTTAATTCTTCACTCTGCCACTATCCACCATCCTTTCTCACTTCCTCCTCAACAACTTCAAATGACCATAGATCATATACAGTTAAAAACTTGTTTACACAACTATCTCTGCTGGACACATGTTTTGTCGCCGAGAAACGAAAATGATGTCACAACTTCCCCTTGTATTATCTGTCTTTGCAACCAAGGATATGCCTGATAATATCTAAATGGAAAAACAGCGGAGAGGGGTTTATACCTTGATTTTCGAGTCGCCCAATCCCCCCCTACCCCCCTTTTTTCCCCCCCCTCAGCAACAAGCTCATTTCCAAGCCCCAAAATCACTTTAGTCCCAAGACTTTCTCATATAAACCAACCCACCCTTGACCCAACATCTGCTCGCCTCAATTCACCCTCCCCGCCGATTCCCTCCAAAACCACCCAGAACCTTGCTCGCAGCGGTACTAACCTTGAGCACATCCCTGTACGTCAAGCTAATCCTCACGCCCCTGGTACTGACACCGCCCGAAGCCTTGAGCGGCGCCGTATCACCCAGCAAATGCCAATTCGCCACGCTGGCGGCATGCAAGTCGTCGTCTGTTTCACGCTCCGCAATGCCATGCATGACATGCCGGTATGCAGAGCCCGAGGTGACGAGCAGGGATCGCGGTTCCTGGTAGATGCGGGTCGGAAGAGTAATCCTGGCCGGGGGAGTGGGGGAGTGGCTCTTGGCTTCGTCATGACTTGCCTGGGCGTGATTACTCGTGTTTACGTCGTCGTTGTCGTCCTCTTCGGCTGCTGAGGCGGCGGCGGAGGAGGACGAGGAGGACGAGGGCTTGGGTAGAATGTCCAGACAGAGAGGGGCGCCGAGACTGACGGTTGCGACTACGGGTGCGTACGCGTCGCCGTCTTCGTGCGGCATGATGCCTTGGCCGGGCTTGTACTCGTTGACCAGTACATGGTTTGGCTGCCGATGAGGAGTGTCATCGAAGATGCCCAGATCTTTGAAGCGGTCCACTATCGGCGTCGTCAGGTAGACGGGCAACGGAGAGGCCAGTAGCGTGTTGTTTTTAGTTAGTGTAGACGGAACCGCTTGGAGGCGACGGTGAGACAGGTACGTCCATCGCTGAGCTGGGATCTGAACACGAGTCAGATCTATAGATTTGTTGATCATATCGGGTCATGGGCATGCAGGAGAAAAGTGGACTTTGGGGGGTGGGTACGTATGTTTGCGGGGTAATGATAATGCCAATTGATGTCATCACTGCATTCTCACCAGCTCGCAGTAAATGTCTCGGAGTTTGCGGAGACTGACCTTTTGTAGAATCGACGTTTCCTCTTCAACACTAATGAAGTTGGAGATGTAGTAAAAGTCCGGCGGGAGACCAGCAATGCGGAAAGCCTCTAGGTCCTGCTTTGCATTGGAATATTCCGAGCCTGTCATTTTGAGTGAACTAGCCTTGAGCAGTTAGTGGGGCGGAAGTCTTGGTATGGAATTCCAAGGTTGCTGGTTGACTAGAAGACGCGTAGACGAGGTACGTAGTCGGCATGTATCGCACCACTACCGTAACTTCACTAGTCCATCACGTGATTTACACAACAGGGCTGGTCTCCAAATCATGATATAATCAGGCTAGACAGCTTATAAAAATAATCCAAACCTGTAGTCTATTGTTGGAATTGAACATTGCACCAGTGCAATCAACCCACTAGCGGCTCAAGCTCGCAGTCATCTTCGTTGCTTGCGCCTTAGATCTAAATCATCTAAACTCCAAGCAATGCATCCAGTTAATAGTAATGAAGATCCAAGAACTCCTTGGGCAAAAAACCTACAATCATATGTGCGAAAATTCCAACATGTACTTGATCGAGCCAGCAACCGGGCCCGATCGGTTGTGTTCTCAAATCAACAGCATTGTGTACCTCAAAACAATGAACTCAAACATACCCTTCACATCACAGTGCAACCACCAGGCCCACTTCGTGCACGCCGGCGACGGCCGATGCCTGTCGCACCTGCGCCTTCTTCTTCATCAGCATGCATCATCTGCGCCTCTCGCGCTCGCCTCCGCCGTCGCCTCGCTCCCGCACCGCCAACACCAGCTTCTTCATTCATCATCATCCAATCGGCCCACTTACGTTCCAGACGTGCAGCGGCAGCAAAGTCACCTCGCAAGACGCGCTTGGTGTGTTCTTCAACAGTTGGTTGCCAGTTGTGGAAGCACTTGAGCTTGATAATCTCACGTGGATACGTCGGGGTTTTGGAAGCGGACCGGGAGGTAGGACGAGTGATTTCTGCGTTTCGGGAAAGGACTTCGCGAACACCAGTCCAGGTGACGTTGGAACAATCATAGGCCTCAATGCGAAGACCTACTTCGGGGCGCTCAGAATGTGCAAGGCCACGACCGCTCTTGTTGCGATTGTGCAATCCAGAGGCAGCTTCGGCCAAGACAAGATCAGAAATGCGTGTGTTGTCCATCTCCAATGAAGCAAGTTGGGGACACGCCTTGAGAACGGGGAGCATACCGGAATCACCTAGGTTCTCGCAATATGAAATGCACAGATGCTTCAAATGCGATGCGCATGGGGACTCAGCAAGTGTCTTCAGGACTTCATTCGTCAGCGTGTCAATCTCCTCGATATCCAGGTGGGTGAGAACAGGGAGAGTGGGCAGTAAGCTTTGCAAGCCATCATCGGTCAATCCTCCACACTTGGAGACTTGAAGACCCTCTAGGAATGGGACGTTGTTGACCAAGGTCTTTAGGCCAGTATCGGTGATGCTGCGGCAGCGCGTAAGGTTCAAGTGCTTGAGTTTCCTAGGCGGGACAATTGGTCGGTCAGTGAGGATGTCAATCTCTTCGTCCACACCCTCAATCAAAGCAGCCAGTGATTCGTCACTAAGGCTATCACAGTTCTTGAGGTCAAGTCTTTCAAGTGTGTTCCGCTTGAACAGCTCGGCCATGAGATCGACATCATCCCAGCCTCTTACTTCGCCAGCCCTGATATCTCGTAGTTTCGGACATCCTTCGACTACCTTCTTGAGTCCTCGGTTATCAATGTTGTTGCACCATGAGATATTGAGAACCTCGACCTTGGGACAGTGTCCACCGAGAATCTTCATGGCTGCATTCGTCGCGCCTGCAAGGCCAGATAGATTTACGTGTACGAGACGGCTATTCTGAAGTAAGAAACAGTGAATCGACGCGCGGTCAATTCGACAGCCTTGAAGTGAAAAGTTTTCCAAGTTCTGGCAAGACTCAATGAAGCCGTCTTTGCCCCAATGTTCCCTCAGCTGGACACAGCCCCGCAGATTCAAGTCCTTGACAAACGGGCCAGCCGAAGTGATGATATTGACCAGAGCATTGGCTGAAATGTCGCGGTAAAACTTGGTAGTATCAAGGTCACTCCAGAGCTGACCGTCAAAACACATGGTGTACCATGATTTACAGACACGCGAACAGCGCACAACCTCCTTTGGCTCCAGGTATCGAAGAATCTGTATGCGGATCTCTGCGGGCATTTGTTGCCAAAAGTTGAAGTTGGCCCGTTTTTGTACCTTGCGGACGGGGCGCGAGAAGTAATCGCTCTCCGCCTCGAGCCCATCTCTGGTAAAGGGCCGGCGGGAGGAAGGCAGGGGGACCGACGACGGGGTCTCGGGCGTCTTCATGCGTAGACGGGTTCTCTCGTCCCAGAATGGCGTGCCAGGAGGGCTGTTGGCGACCGAGGTGGGAGCGGTTGAAAAGCCGTTGGATAGCTCGGACGAGTACGAGCTGCCAAACGAGGTACCATAGGGCGAGCCTGGGGAGGCCAGGGAGACACAGGACATTGAAGCCTTGCCTCCGCTTCTCAGGCTCTGCGAGCGGGCTCTACCAAAGCCAGCGAGGCTTGGAGAGGAGCCCATGCGGTGTAGTCCATTGAGCAGACGCTGCCTCCCTTTCAGCTTGGGCTGCTCCATGGCCATGGGTTCCGTGGGAGGGATGCTGGGTATTGGCTGTATGTCGTTGTGGTCGACGACCACTGCATCGATAGAGACTGGGTCCATGGCGGCGCGTCAACAAGGGTATACACGCTGGCCTAGGAGGAGAGGCTTTTGGAAAAAAGGGAAAAAATAGGAGCGAGCTGAAGCCGGCCCGGTGGTTGGGCAGGCTGGGCTGTTTTTGATGGGCGCGGATGGCGGCATGCTGACTGGGGGGAGACTGGAAAGGGTCCCGCCACCGTCTAGAAAGGCGGGGGAAGCTGGCCCGTGTATGGCGGGCGTGTCTTATCCGGCTTATCGCAGGTGCACGTCCACCGGCCTGTGAGCCGCCCCAGGCCCGATTGGCCCAGTCCACGTGCACAGCCCACATGCCACCAGTGCACCTCCGATGGGGGGCATTTGGTCGCTTGACCCCCCCAACCCACCGTCGCGTGAGCACAAGATGGCCTTGATGATTCCCATGGCTATGCCATATCCTGGGAGACTTCTCTCTCTATTCCAGTTTGATCCGAGGCCGCGGTTCCCATCTGTCCACCATCCAATCACTCCTCGGCCCTGCGGATGGTAGCGTTATGCAGGGTCTCTCCTCTCCTCTTGGCAACCAGACCAAGTAGAGTAGATTACGTCTCTGCAGCCGCACGATGCGTGGTTTTATGCATCTGGACAAATAGAGGCGTCTTGGTTCGTAGGATACAACGGCTTGTTTCTTATGGGATGCCGGAATGCACATCTACTACTTACTACATACATACACTGGTCAAACCAACTAAACCCTACGCTGCACCCATCTTCTCCTTCAACTGCGCCAAAAACCTGCTATGTGTGCCTCGCCAGTTATCCTCGCATTTCCCTTTGACCGTGTTCACCAGCATCCGGTTCGCCTTGATCTCCACATCCTCGACTAAGCTCCACTCTCCCTCTTCCTCATTGGCTCCTTTGTCCCCCTCTCCTAAACTCTCCGTCTTCAAGCACCTCCACGTAGTCTTCTGCGTCAGTCCCAATGGTGCCTTGATGAGCCATAGTATTCCATCGTCCAGGTCTGTCATATGTGCTTCAAATGTCACTTTTGTATCCCACAGCCCAGCTGGGAGCGCATTCATATGGTCCGTGATCTTGTATATTTTAGCCTCTGGTGTAGCCGGGTCTGACGGCAGGGTCTCGTGCGAAGCATATTCGGGGTCGAGGCGAATGAGCAGTTCGTGGTCGTGAAGCTGTTCCACAGCTTGTGCATAGCTTATTGAGCGCGGGAGATGTGTCACGTTGCGAAGCGTCGCCGTAGTATTTAGAGCTGAACTCGTAAGCACAGTCACAACGCCGTGTGAGCAGACAACTTACAAAACATGGTAGAGAGATTTTTAAGGGGTATCCTAAATGTGCGAGATGTGTTTGTTGAAAGTGGTTTCGTAGGCAGGTCTAAGTAATGTGGCTGTTCTACGTATGCCTCGGAGACGAGTTCAGCTGTGCACCAGGCTAGTTGCTGGTCTTATCTGTCGAGAATTGCTTATGAGCTCGTGAAAATAAATACACGGAGGCAAGTCCGACACTTGTTAGACACAGTCAGGTTGGGCCGTGTTGATGCTTCAATGGTTTCATGGGCAACAAGCGACCTGTCTCGACATGTCCCGACGGCAATACTGCAACACTCCCAAGATGACATCAGCATGCACTCGAAACACGCATCGTATACAAGGACACTGAGCGGCCACTGCAGAGGGCCGTGAGATTTCGGGGTCTGCTAAGCTTTACAAGCTTTACAGGCTTTTCACCACCAGTCTGCCACATGGAGCGTTGCTGCTCGGAGCAGCGGGTTGCGTTGAACGCGACCGGAGCCCGCGGGGAAATGGTGCATGGTGCACTGACGTCGCGCGTCAGGCCTACCAAACTCCACAATCATGATAGGAAGAACACAAAAACTACAAATCAAGCCAACGTTCTTCGAAAAAAGAAAGATCTACATTCTGCCCTTCTACACACACACACATTTCACAATATGGATAATTTGCTCACACAAAAGACGCCTACAGGCATGATGGTTGCTCAGACTGTAGGTATTACAGCAAGCATGTTTTTATTCGGTAAACTACCCCTCCCCTGGGTATATATCCCATGTTGGCATGATAAACCTTAGAAATAATGAGACTAAGGCAAAGTACAGGAAGTAACACATGCCTCTCCGTTGTGGGTATACACACGGCCATGGAAGCGCCTGCTCCCCTTGCCGTCAAGCAATGGTACTCCATCTTTACCCGAGGCGGAGCAATTGCCCGCCCACTGGCTATCCTTTCGGCTCTGGCAACGGGATATGTTGCTTACAACCGTGCGTTACGTGGATCTTATATCCGTAGTACCTAGATCGACTGACACAGTTCAATAGAAGACCCCAGCTCGACGGCTTTCCGTCTGAACCTTGCTTCTACCATTCTTCTTCCCAGTATTGTACCTTTTACACTCCTCGTCATTGCGCCCACAAATGCCAAGCTCATGGCTAAGAAAGACAAGCTTGAATCCGCCTCGCTGGAGGACAAAGCTGTCGAGGCAAATGTTGCCCAAGGCGAGACGGTGCATGAGCTGATGGATCGGTGGGCTACGCTTAACATGGCGAGAACTCTGCTGGTAGGCGTGGGTGCTGTATGTACTGTGCTTGCAGCAGCGAGCAAGAGAGAAGTCGTGAGATTTGGGGGCATGGCCATCAAGAGCGGAGCAAACAGGTTATGAGAAGTTGAGTAAAAGCAGACAAATGTCAAAACTTGAATGATTGGGACATGAGTTCTGGAAGTTAATCGAATTCATGTGTACATGGATATTCCCTTGTACATCTCATAAGCCGTATACAAACGTAATTCTATCGTCGCCCTCTCGAGTAGGTCTTGCAGCTCGCTCAAGCCAACCTGTAAGCCAGTTGAGCAGTCTGATCGATTTGGTCATAGCCGCGGCTCTTTGAAGCCACTGACCCTGTTGTGGTGACGGTCCTCTGCCTTCAAGCCTCTCCAATTCGATCTCATCTTCGGTCCACTCGCGCAGAATCATACTGCGTGCCTTATTTTCCCTTTTGAGTCTTATGTAAAACAATACATAACCCGTGGCGGAGAGTGATACGCAAAATAGTGTCCACCAAAGAGGTACAATGTAACCGTCATCAGCATACTTTGGCTTGAAGAGAAGAGCCGAGATGACACCAGCCATATTCCCCCAGCCATTGATACCGAGAAGCATTGCACGTTTGCCCGGCGAAGGGGTATTACCAGATATCCAGGCAACGGTGAGCGGAGATGCTACGTAAGTACCCGAGAGGAGAATGACAAGGGCCACATAGCGAGGTATCACCCATGAAATCGGGAACAGTACGACCAAAACTAGTCCCAAAGCCATGATGAACAGGCCAGCAAGGACCGGCTTGAGCCGTATGCGCTGCTTATCGCTGTATGTAGCAAACAAGTAGAGCGTGACGGCGCCGCAGAAATGGGGTGGTACAGTAAGCAGATTGACCAAGGCAGGATCCTTGTTTTCTGTCAACGGAGCGAGAACCAATGGAAGGAAGATAGAAAAAGCATAGACTGGAACAGCAGCAAGAATGTTGCATACCAGAATGTGCCAGATCTTGGTGTTGAAGATTGCAGATACTATATCTTGGGGCGTGAGTCCACGGTCGTCAATGAGCTGCTTTGCCTGCGCATTTGCCGCAGCCGAGCGTTTTGATGGCTGTAAAAGATCACGAGCTTCGTCGTCGTGTTCTTCCTCGGGATCCAAATCATCTTTGCGTGTTTCATCTGACGAATTTTGTATATCCCTGTCCTGGATAACGCGTGTGCAGGCGTACTTGCGTTCCTCGGGTGCAAGAAACCAGGCCGTGTCTGCGCTATGCGGTAACCAAAAGTACCCAGCAATAGCGACAACTACGGTGAGGCATCCTTCCAAGAGAAAGAGTACCTGCCATGGCTTATATCCCGTCTGGCGGTTGGCTCCAAACTGCGAGAATACCAGGTAGCTTAGCAGCCCTCCAAGAGCACCACCCACGGCTGCCTGACCGTAGAAGAACGACAAGCGTCTCCCGAACTCGAAGCGCGTGTAGAAGAGAGACAGATAGGTAACGGTAACGGGATAGAAGCCGGCTAGGTACAATGTCAGCTCCTAGTGCTTGCAGCGCGCACGGGATGGAATGAGCCCACGTACCTTCGAGGGCACCTATGAGTATGCGCAAAGTGTATAGCTGCCACTTGTGTCGTATCCAAGCATGCAGGGCAGTAGAAACGCCCCATGCAAGCATGCATGACGGTACCCAAAGTACCATACCAAATCTCCTTCCCAGGGCGGCGCCAAGCGGCTGGAGACTGACAAAGAAGGCGAAGAAGAGGGCGACGGCCGTGTTCAGGACATCCTTGTTCAGTCCGACATCTTCGGTGAAGTGGGCAGACTCTGCATTTCCTATCTAGTTGAATATCAGTCGGTGTTGTCGCAGTGGTCGTGTACATGTATGGGAGCATACGTTCGTCTTGTCGAGCGCGTTGAACAGGAAGAAGAGGGCCAAAAAGGGAAGCAGGAGAAAATCAAGCTTGAGGAGGGTTCTCTTGTGTAGACGCGACTCTACCACGGGCTGGTCGTCTTGTAGCTCATCCGTCGACATTGCGCTGGCTGCCGCTCGTGAAGCAGGAGCTTCGGTGAGCTCGTACGCCTCGACGTCGGACATTCTGTCGGCTGCCAAGATGAGAACCACGCGGACACATCACAAGGCTGACAGCATCGGTGAAGGTCCATACAACCTGTAACAAGAAGATAAGCAGAGAGTTGAGCCATGTTGAACTTGCGGCTCAAGGCCATAAGACGGCACATCTAGACAGCCAAGGGCGGTTTTATTGCCGGCACTGGACCCTGAGGGCTGGCATGACGTTGTCGATTGGGGGTGTGCCATTCAGCCCCCTCTCGTCCAACGGAAACACTCGGATACCTACCGACAGCATGCAGTCAGGTATTGGTAGTGATAGCAGACCCCTGCACTTGTACCGCTATCACTCTTTCGGCGGTTCGACATTTATCAACACCGTCTCGGCCTTTTGGTTTGGAGCGAAGGTGTGGTGGATGTGCTGAGAGTAAGGCCCAACAAGGGAAGGCGCCCCACTGTTATCGATAAATACATGTCTTCTCCATGCCAACATTGTACCTGCATGTTACTACTCTAGGCTCAACCTATTTGCACCATGCGACATGTGATCTTTGCTCTTATGAGACTATTATCTCGTTTAGCAGGTCTTGGACCACATACACGATGGACATCACAAGTGAGCCAAGTCACCCTGTTCTCTCGTCTCGTCCTTGGGCTATTATACATTTAGATAGCACGTTATCACGCTCTTTGGTCGCATGCAGCGGGTAACACTGATTTTTATCATTCTGTTTTGGCAAAATAATATGATTGGTCGGTAAGTATGCCAGATAGAAATGCCGTCACTCTTCGTGCAATGCCATTGATTTGTCTACGAGCATATTCCCGCTACTGGTACATGGACATCCTTGGCTTTTTCTCGCCCTAGATATATATCCTTTGCTTCAATTCGACGTTCCTCGCTTACAACTTGCTGATGAAGAGGCGGGCAGCGAACAGGCGCACGCGCTGGGGCAGGATGTACTTGGAGAAGACGTAGATGAGCGATGGCAGGAGGATAAAGGCCACGGTAGTCTCGTTGACGAAGAAGAAGGGGATGAGCTGGGGCATAGCAGACTTGAGGACCGTCTATTATCCAATGGTCAGTTTCCCAACATTCCCCGCGCAATCAACTAGGGGCCATTCTCACCATCTGCTGTGGGCTGACCTCGGTCTTCTTGGTCTGGCTGGCGACGAGAGCAGGGCGTGCCATGGCGGCCGGGCGGACAGCCGTGGGGGCGCGGAAGGCAGCCCTGGTAAAGGGACGGAGGAAACGGGCGTTCATGATGGGCTATCTGGGCTGTTGCGGGTCAGCGCGCTGCTGCGGGGGTCCAATGGCGGTGCTGGAGCTTTCGATAGGGGCAATTGACGCACTGGATCAGGTCTTGCGAGCCCCGGGAGATGAGCGATGATGGCGTTGCGGTCGCGGGAGGTTTCGTGGTGGTGGTGTTGCTGCTGCCGGTCCGCAAAAGCTCGCACAGCTGCCGCCCGGAACATGCCGCGTCCGTGCGCTGCGCTTGGCATCACCACTTTCCACCCCCAGACTTGGCCTCTCTCTTCTTCACTCTTCCCACGAAGATGGCCATCGAAAACATCATGATACTTGGCGTAAGGCAGTCAGTGTGCCTGCTGGTTTATCAAAGCCCGCTGACTTGCCTGTAGAACGGACATATTTGCCGTTCCATCATCTCCGCTCTATGCTCACAACAGACATCATCTGATGACTGCAACTACAAGATATCTGTGCTAACGTATCCTTCTCAAACACTAACTCTTCCACCCAATGTCTCTCAATCTCCAGTGCAACACAAAACCTCTGATTTCACACCAAACGCACTGCAGTCGGCATTCATCGGCTATGATATTATCCTAAGCACAATGACAGGTGGGGACTCGGACCTACAGGTTGGCATCATCAACGCCATGGTAGCCGCAGGGGTCAGGCGATTTGTCCCCGATGAGTTCAGTCATGACAGTCTGAACAAGCAGCTTCAAGCCCGCCTACCCAAGCATGCAGAACGAGCAAATGTTATTAACCATCTCAAAAACCTGTCAGATGCTAGTCCGAGCTTCGAGTGGACAGCAGTCGCTACAGGGTATACACTTGACACCAAAATCATCAATGGCGATATGGGCTTCGACGTGGAATGGCAAAGTGCTACTATTCATGGCACAGGTATGGAGTTATTTGCGGCTTCCAGTCTAGCAAGAGTAGGTCAGGTTGTGGCTCGAGTGCTTGCCAATTGGGAAAAGACCAAAAACCAGTACATCTATGCTGCCGGCACTATCATATCAGCTAACGAAGTCCTCGAGTCTGTGGAGGAGTTGACTGGTCAAGAGTTTGCTGTGGGGAGATATGCCGTAGAAGAATGCGTCGAAGAAGGGCGGAAAAGGATCGAAAGAGGCTATCCTGATTCGGGGCTTGCTTTGCTCGAGCGGAGTATACTCTACGATGGCCAGCTGAATGCATCGGCACCTTTTAGGACACACAACGCCAATGACATGCTAGGGCTTGCGCCAGAGTCGGCAAACTCCATTGTTACAAAAGCATATCGCTTGAGGCATCTTGGCAAACCGGGTTGTGCATGTGCAACATGAACTCAGTATCTCGAGACCAAATGCCTTTTTTGAGCTGAACAAAACAAAACTCGAATCATGCACCCTGATGGCTACGAATCTATATCCTCTGCCTTGAAGCCTGTAAATCACAGATCTGGCACTGGCGCGGAGGCTCTGAGGTTTGATACTCGCCGAGGATATCAGACCACTTTACCGGCAGGACGAATAATCAAGGCGTCTCATACCACAATCAAGATCACATCAAGATCAAGTCAGATCTAAATGTCCGTGTGTATCTGTGTGCACAAGGGTGTATCAAAATGCTCAGCCCTTAAAAACCCCACCAACCAACGGTTGACTCGAAAAAAATAAATCCACAAAAATAAACCATGTCCATTGGCAAGATACATTTTTCGACGTACGCAATCCTATCTACCAGCCCAGCCCCACGTCAGCATGCTACCCCTAACTCCGCTTTTTGGGTACGTATCTAGATGACTGGTACATTTCGTCGCTCGTGCACCCTGCGTTTCAGTGAGTTTTTCCGTGTGTGTGGTGTCAGATCCTGCTACCCGAAACATGAGGCTGTGTGACGCCAGCGAGGGTGTTTGGCATGCCGAGGCCATCTTGCCACTGGGGTACTGGGACTGCTTCTTTCCGGTGGCTGAAGTCGTAGGGCTGGAAGTGGGGGGTGGGTAAAATAGATTGGGAGGCTACGATTCGCATTCGTTGCCGAACCAGGCGTAGTTACTACACCTTGACCACTTCTGCTGTTCGAACGGACCCTGTAAACAAAACAAAAAGAAAGAAAGAAAGAAAGAAAGAAAGACACACACACAGAGAGAGACTGGGGCATTTGTATAATCCTTGGGACTGATTGATTCGCTGAAAGCAAGTCTATAACGTGAACTGCGAAGGGGAATTTACTTAAGTGCTATGAAGAGTGGCAAGGATTCTCGAGATAACGACAAAGCCAAAAACTAATCTAACTAGATGCTGGGGGGAAGTCATGACCTCGTGACTACCGCTCGCTGGCGCCAACTCGGCGTAACCAAAACCTAAAGTAACGCTGTACAAACAAGAACGCTTCAGAGAAAATGAATAAAACCGAATTTGCTTGAAAACCATGCGCTTGATGCTCGGGGATTACAAAGAACGCCTTCGCCGTTGGGAGTTGTGGGGGGTCTTGGGAGGGGTGCGAGGGGAAACGGATTTGCTCAACCAACATTGAAAACAACAAACGCAAACCATGAAAGATGGCGCACCGTCACCTTTCAGTGCCACCATGGCAATCTCATATCATACTCGCTATCGAGTTCAATGCGACTGTGGTCGTCCGTATACCAACGAGCTCTGGTTCACTTACTTGGTGTGCCAAGTCTGGCGTGTACTGATGGTTGGCGAAGTTTGGTAGACTTTGTAATGGCGTGGTGAACATGCCAACAACAGACTCTTGCCTAGTGGTTTGATCCATGTGACTCAGGTTGGCTGATGCTATCGTGGGTGTTCGGAGTGATTGCATCGTTGGTGTTGCTGAAGAAGGAGTGGGGTACGCAGCACTGCCTGGATGACACGAACTGCTCGGTCGAGGGGTTGATGTTGGCGTAGACGTTGGCAAAGGTCTGCCATATGATTGTAGTGATGCGCTCCCTGGGATCGGAGTGGGAGTAGAATGTCGATGAGAAGTCGGGTCTGCTTGCAATGTGTCATGCTTGAACGGGTATGGAGACGACGTTGACGAGGCAGATGACGCCGCACGAACTCGCCCGGCTTGCGTTTCCCGACGCCTTTTTGGACCGTCCTTGACTTTCGGGTGTGTATGGCACTGCGTTTCAGGTCAGTACAGTTGAGTATTTGTCAAGGTGACCAGTTTGGCCGAGCGATTCCAATTCGGAGAAGACTTACCTTGTATGCGTGGCGGAACCATGTCGTTCCCTTTTTCTTGTTGCTTACCAGTGCTATCCATTCTCCGCAGCTTCCGCAAAGTCCTTCCCAGACATCCAGGTTACCTTCTGTCCTGCGAGTCTCTTGTGGACCCTGGAATGCTGCGCCGGTAGCTGCGCTAACACCATGCGTAAACGACTTGTCATACCAGAATGCACTGTTCTTCAGAACAAGCCATCGCCCTGGTTTGCAGAGCCCGCACCAACCTTCACGCTTGTTCCCATGTCCGCGTACCCATCGTGGAGTGTACAAGTCACCCACGAACCGAAGATCTTGCTCGTGCGGGATAAGGTCTGGGTCCGATGGGTTCATGTCAGACTCAGGCGGGTTAGAGGCTTCTTCATGTAGCGATGAATATAGGTCCGGGGGATCCGAAAGGTCAGCAAAGTGGGATGAACAACCACCGTGGCGGTCCGCATTACTCTGGAGCAGACGGAAGAGACCCTGAGAAGGCAGTGGGCGAGGCACTTCAAGATGGTAGGGTGATTGATCTTGTGCTGCAAAGTATGGTGGGGTGTTGGTATGCTGAGGGTTTGTCTGCGAATACAGGACGTTCTGGGCAGCCATTCCGTAGTTGTTATATGCGCCCGAAGGGTAGGCTGGCATGGAATGGTGGGGGTTCAGCCTTGGGCCGTATGGCGTAAAGTGATTCGGTACTTGGGAGACTGTTCGGGCATTGGCGGGGGTTGACGTTGGCGCGTGTCCGGTAGACCATCTTTTGAAACGGCCACTGTCTAGTGTATATGGCGACGACCGTACGTTATTGTGCGGTGCTGGCGAGGCGCGGGAGCGACTCCCACTTCTCACTACACCGTCGTACTGAGGACGACATGGTGACGCAAGCGGGGATAGGAGATGGCTCTGGCTTGGTTCCGGGCGGCTCCATGTGTCATACTCGGAGGGGTATGACACTGGCTCCGAAGTGCCCAAATCTTCGTAAGCTACTGGCTCTGGAAGCACGCCACCTGTGCTTGACATTGAGAAGGAAGACTCTGATAGGCGTCGGGTGGTGTTCGGGTTCAAATTGGCCATGCTGTCATGCTCCTGCTGTGGCATGCCATTGTACTGGCGCAGGTCGATGATGGGTGTATTCTCGTCGTGTCCCATGATGCCGTTGCTGAAGTCGGTGACATCTGGATCCAGGGAGGGAAATGATTCCAACTCTTCGCACACCTTCTGACCCCATGGACCTGCAGTTGTTAGTACGGCGACTGGAACTGCTCGATCATGGGCCTTACTTGTGTCGATGACACCCGGAAAGAAATCAGTAGGTGCTAGCGATGTAGGGGGCGCCATGCTGTTGCTGTAGAAGTCGCTGCTTGTGGCAGCTGGTTGGGTCACATTCACATCTGTTCGCGCCAGTGAGTGTCCCGAGTCCTGTCTTCCCACGACAGGACCTCTTGGCGCGCCATAGTACGAAGGGTGAGGCTGCGGTATCGCCCACGACGATTGCGGTGGCGATGGTCTGGACATTTGCAGTAGATTCTGTGGGTGTTGCTGTTGCTGTCCTTGTGGGGCAAGACCCCCGTAAGGATACATCATCTGTGTTCCGGGCGTGGGAGAGGGGTGGCCCATCGTGTGTTGTCTATTAGGCGATGGCCTGTATCTATATAACAGGTTGTTTTGCTTAGAGGAGCATCGCTGGTTGAGTAGTGTTGGATAGGGCTTACTGCTGGACGGTGTGGTAGTTCATCTTCTAGCCAACCTGCTATATACAACAGTCTTGGTAAAGTCTGTGAATATTCTGCTTGGGGCAGGCAGTAAGCAGATAGTCAAGGAGGTTGTGGCTTTGATGAGGAGTGTGGCGTCGACAAAAGGTTCAAGATTGGTGTCTGTCAAGGAATCCGGGGGGGGGGGGCGAGCGGAGGACGCGGGCCACTTACATTGGTAGCGAAAGTAGGGATGACTAGTCAAATGAAGGTCTAAGGCGATATAGTCGAGGGCCAATATGATGAGCAGACGCGGAACCGAATAAGATTGGATAATGTGGTAAGTGTGGGGTTTTCTTCAAAAGAGTGTACGAGAACAAATGTTCCCAACAACGCAACCAGCGCGAATGGAGCCGGCTCCAAAAGAAAGAAATGTTTACAAAGATAGTTGGGTCGGGTCCTAAAGAGTGAAGGGCCAAATAGAAGGAAAGACGGCTGGAGGGGCTGTTAGGCTATATGATGCGTACGGGTTCGCAACATCCGAGAGGAACAATAAAGAGCGATGATGTCTGCAATTGACGCAACGGAACCGCTTCGATTCAAGTTTGAGAGAAGTGTCGCGACGCGCCTTGGCTGCAGGTGATCTGGAACGGTCAGAGCAGAAGCGTTCACCCAAAAGAGAGTCTAGCGGGGATGGATGTAGTGGGCGGTGGACGGTGCGCAAGGCTGCTGGGATTCCAAACGGCGATTAGACGCACTCGGAACGGTCGCACCAGTCAGTGTCTCCATCAATCCTCCCGGCTTACTCGGAGAGGTCTCCTCGGCGGAGGGCAGCAGGCGCCCCAAGTCGCCATTGGCACAAGTGTCTGTCGACATGGATGGAGCGATGGTAGCAGCCCTCGCCCTCCGCTATCAACTCTAACACCAACAGGGGCCAGGTTGGTGCAGACAGCAGTCGAGCTGAGCTGGACAGGCAAGCCATGGCTCTCTATCCGTGATCCGAAGCCAGGTTTCAGCGCTGGCCAGAGATGGTGTAGAGCCAGTGAAGAAGGATGGATGGGGTGAAGGAAGAATATGCCTGGGAAATGTGCAACCTGCCCATGTATCAACACGATTGGGGTGGGCTGGCAGGCCGTTTCATCGCATCAGGAAGACTGTGCTGAATTGGGCGGAGGGCCATCCCGACGACGAGGATGGGCCGCTGATTGGGGATGAGGTTAGTTGAGTCGCCTGTGGCGCGTAGTTTTTGGTGAGGGAGGCGGATGAGGTCAGCGACCGAATCCATCCAGCCCCACGCCTTTTACCGTGTCGCGACGAGGGCGAAACACTCCTGACACACGCCCAGGGGCACCTGCGACCCACTCTGACCACAATATGTACCGCACCATTACCGCCATCCTCACCTGTTCTCGTATTGACTCGCCGAGAGCAATTGCCCGGCGGGCCCGTTGTGCGGTCGCGGTGGCCGAGTATCCCTCCTCTGCAACTCGACGCCTTCTGTTTATGCCCCCTCAGACGGACCGCATCCTCGCCGAACCGTACCATCTTTAGTGGCCTCTTAATCTCGGTCCACCAGCTCCAGGAGAGCTGTTTGTTGTGCAAGAGCGTGGGCTGAACTGTGGATGTAGTGCTGCACAGCTACTTCAATGTGCACACATGTAATGTGTACTTAGTCAATGTGTCTTCCTGGTGGCCTTGCTGCGGTGCGGGCCATGACAGGCTCTCACACCTGCTATCGAGTCATGTTGACAAGTGACAGCGGCCGATCGACTATGTGTGTAATTGGAATTACCAGTATGGGGTGCAGCGTGGCGTGAAAGCCTGCATGTATATCCCCCTCTGGTATCATCTGGGGCTTGCCAGTACACAAATGGAGCAGTAGCTTCGCCACGCCCCATCGCCGCCAGTGTATCGCGCCATGTACCCAAGTGCTCATAAACCTGGCTATCGGACTTGCCTAAAGGTGCCGAGCCTGGGCTTGTAACAGGGTTTTGAGCCTCCAAGATGTCTAAATTAACTATTGTGCCGAAAGATATACCAGAGGGCATGAACTAAGTAGATTTCGTGCAGCACAAGCCAAGTCGGAGGATGCGCTACAAGGTGCTGCACGCTATCAGTATTAATGCTGCCTTGGACCAGCAAGGCATGCCCATGCCTTGTCCCAAGCTACCTGCGTAAAGCTCCTAATTTTGGACCTTGACTTCCTAAACGCTATGCGCTGCCTTGTACACCTTTACCCAACACTTGTACGGCCTGACCACATGTGAGGTTTTGCCAAAACAGTGTGACCAGTGCGACCTTGTTTCCAGTCAAAGCATAGTCTCGCAAAGTGTCTGGCTATTGTTTGCTGTTGCATTATTCTCCGCCGTTTTGCTTTGCCCCACTCTCGACCAGGCTGGACACGGCCCTGAGGACTCGAAACCCCTCCGCGAAGGACATTCGATCAACCCTATTCTGACTTGAAACTCTAGGAAGAATTGTATCGATTTGATCATATCGATTTCTAGCTTCAGTCAGATGTGTCGTTGACGCGTTGATGTAGATCATGTCGTAATTTCTATAAACGTACATACACAGTCTTTGATCTACACAGGCAAGCCCTGCGCTCAACAGAAAACTCTGGAGGACCGAATACACGATCAACGTATCCCCGATGCCCCAAAACAGTACAGACACCCATACCGATGAAGATCTTCCTTTCGCGATCCACCCCCTTAGACCTAGTAGACACATAGTGCTTACCCAGCATACCCAGCATACCCCCTCGTCCCCCTTTCTGCCGGTACACCCTAAGAAGCGGCATACAAAATCACTTGCAAAACACAGTGAACAAAACATGTTCAGACCCGAACCAGACTTCCCACCACACCTACACACTATCACTCTCAAGCTACCTACACAACCCCTCCAACCCCCTAAAAACAGGCATACAAAACCATGTACAAAACATACGCCGAACAGGCCTACCCCCTATCCACATAGCACAAACAACTATTACTCTACCCAAGACTCCGCAGAGAGAGCCAAAAAAAAGATAGATACAGCCCCTCCACCCCTCACCCCTTCCCTATAGCATCGCCAAGTAAAAACATAAAAAAAGAAACAATCTTATCAGTATAGAAACCTCCAAAAACACAATTAGTGCACGTACTGTACGTCCGTACGCACGTTCCTCCCTTCCGACAAGCTTTAGTTTTTTTTCTAAAAAAAAATTCAGCCCTACTTCATGCCTTGGTATTTTGAAGTGGGGTAACAAGGAAAAAATCAAAAAAGGGAGAAACAGGGAAGAAGGGGGGAAGGGGTGTGGCAACTTGATACTGTACATGTGTGTAGATAGTGGTGCGTATGGGGAAAGAGATTCAGATCTTGTTTTTTCTTTTTGCTGGATGTTATGCATCGGATTCATCAAGTGTCTGACCTATGTGTTTTTTTGTGTTCTTCTCCCTGTCCGTTTTTTCAAAAACAGGCATGGAACAACTAGATCTTCTCTTTGACGGATATGGCTGTTTTGGCATTTGTCATCTGGAATATGTCTGAATTCGGCCGAGCAGAATAGCATGGGGGTGTGGAGTGGGTAAGACGAGCACAGCCTTGTTACTATCCAGGGAGTCTGCATATGCAATGTCTTGGTCGGACCGAGGATAGAAAGAGGAGGTCATTATCAGATATTGTTTTACGTCGCATCTATGGACAAAATACACTAGTTTCACAGGGTATACATACTAAGCGGCCTTTTGTCCAGGTTATGTAGTGGATACTGGGGACCAAGCCTCCAGTCCATCATCCAGGACTTGCCGTACTAAAAAAGAACTTGCCGGCTCCATTCCGGATTTGATACACACTTCATCCTTTCGTTCCATACATAAACCGTCACCGTCTCTCACAGTTTTCCGATTTTGATTTGGCATTCTCCGCTAGTAGTGTCGAAACTCAACGTACTAGCGCCATCACCCTTCTTCGCTTCGACGTGATTTTTGCCGGGTGTGTCGTTTTCGTTGAGCAGTTCTAGCCCCTTGCCTTGCAGGTGCAGTGCTCCGTTTAGAGAAGTTCCGTCAACATGACCAGTCCACTCTTCCGGATAGGTGATGTCGAGGGCTCCAGAAGTGCTCAAATGCGTGCTGACAAGACCAGTCATCGGTGTCTTTTTCGCCTTGTATGGAGTGCGTAGTGTCAGTGACGTTTGACCCGAGTGTGTCTGTGTGTATATCTCCGATTGGTAATCACCCGATTTGAATGGCACGATATCGGCTGTTACGAGACCTGCGATTGAGTTGATTTCTGTTCGCGAGCCGTGGATGAAGGTACCGTCGACCGAACCGACGGTTGTGTTGATAAAGGTCTTATAGTCTCGTTCGGGGATATGCTTTCGTTTGAAATCTGTGCGTATGCTACCGGAAAGAGTATCGACCATGAAAACTGCAGGGCTGGATGACCCATTGGCAGCTTCTTGGGGCTCAACGTTGATGTTGACAGAGCCGCTCTTTGTCTTGACAGAAAGAAGATCGAAGAGGGCGTACATGCCGCTGATGGAGCCAGAAATGGTTTGCAAGTGAGTTTGGCGCGAATAGAACGCTCCAGCATCTAGTGTACCGGTAGTGAGAGAGATCGATGTTGAGTCTGTGACGGTAAAGTTGGCGCCATTGTGAACTTGCATGCCCATGTGGTTGGATGAGACTTTGAGCGTCTTCATCGAGACTCCTGGGGCTACGTAAATGACCACCGATATGCCAAGGCAAGCTTTACCAGGCCGAACACCGTCGAAGCCGTCGGGAAAAGAAGGATCGCCGATTGTCAGTCCTGATGGAGTCTGTGTGTAGGGAACACTGTTGATATCGACTGTTGACGAGATTGCATACGACATTTTCACTTGAACGGTACCAGGGGCTTGCTCTGCAGGTGCTTGGGCAATGTGTATCCAGCCGGCCACGCGTTTGTAAGAGCCGTCCAACTGGTGTATCGCCTCTTGAATGTTTAGCTCAGTAGGTTTGCCAAAATCGTACCATTCAGTCTTGACCCTGTACTCCTTGCCACATTTTGAAGGCCACCGGATTGGGAAGACTTGAGCAGAGTCTCCCGATGCCGGGGGCTGGGCTGTTGACGATGGTTCTGGCCATGGGATGGCAATGAGATCTGGCCGATCAGAGGAGTCGGCTTTTGCAGCCTCGGCTGAAGTTTGGGGAGCAGATACTACGCCCTTTGTGAAGGTTAGCGTTATTCAAGCATATTGTTATTTGATCAGCAAATGTCACGTACTGGCTTGTCCCTTCGAACCGACACAGCTGCCGCCATCAAAGCCAGCATGGCGACAAGAAACATGAAGCAAAGCACTGCAGCAAGCAGCTTGACCCACGTATTCCTTATGCAGCGCTGCCTCAGACTTGGGCCGTCATACTGGTCTTCTTTGAAAGTTGCATCTCTGGCTTCTTGGCCATCGAAGGAGAGCAGCCTGGCGCCCTCTCCCCTGCTCTGGCGACTCGTGTAGAGACCAGGGGTAGTGGCTTCAAGATATGTGGGTGGTGCTTCTGAAGTCTGGCCTATGAAGCTTTCCAGAAGCGGCGTGGAGCGTTCATTGTATGGAGATGGGGATATTATGATTTGGGGTCGCATTGAGCGACTGTTGGCAGCCGCAGTGTCGATGTACATGATGAAGGAATGGAGCAGGAGATGCCCCGGAATGGAAGTAGAATCAGGAGCGATGGGTTGGACGGGGTAAAGAGCGTGGGTGAAGGAGTGCCTGAGTCGACGTCGTGGGTGTTTGGAGACGGACAGAGAAGAGAGAGTCGAAGGAGATGCAAAAGCCAAGGAGACGAAGCCAGGCAGCGATTTCACGGTATATCAGGTTCGGCAACAGGTGCCAAAATGTTCATAAGCCGTTGCACGGGCTGGGTTGTGCAATGGGCTGCTACACTTTTGTTTCGGTGGTGGAAACGCGGCATGTTTGATGTGTGTCTTGGCAAGCAGAGGAGGTATAGAAGCAAGTCCAGAAGTGGCAGACGACCCGCGTCGACGATGTGCGGTCGAGGGGCGTTTTCTTTTTTGTATGCTGTGAATCGTCTGGTTTCACGGGGTGCGATGGAGGTGAGTGCAGATGAAGATTGATTGATTGAAACGGGAAAAGAAGAGCCGGCCTTGAAGCGTGTGTGAGTGAGTGGTGTGTGAAGGGCGCGGTGGGAACGGCTGTCTAGGCGCGGCAGTGCCCAGGGGCCTTAGCGCGGGAGGCGGGGCTGGGCGGTTGACGTAGCGAACGAACGGCGGTGCATCAGAAAGTCAGAAAGCCACTGCCTCAACCTCGACATGGCCGCGCTGCACAAGCTGTCGAAACTCTCAGGCCCGCACTGCATCCTCCTGGCCGTGCACTATGCCGCTCACGCAAATACACCTGCGCTCCAGGCCTTGACGGCTCTGCGCGACGGCGACCTGCCACTGGAGTTGAGCCTGAGCATCCTCCTCGCATACCTGCCAGAGCAGCATGACCCGGCCTCATACTACCACCTCCTTGCCGGCCTGGCCACGGGCGCCCGCGAGCCTGGCGACAACCCGGCAGACGCCCTCGATGTCGCGCCTGTTGAGCAGCTCTCGGATGCGCGCGCCCGTAAGAAGAGGCAATCGCTGGTGCTGCCACCTGTAGCCCATCCCTTGTATGCGGCCGACCGCGACATGGACCTCTTCACCCACTTCCTCATCCACCGCTCCCACCGTATCGATGCCCAGACAGGCCTGCTAGATCTCGTCCCGCGCCTCGTCGTGCCCTTCCTCGACCACTCGGAGCACTTGCGTACCTGGTTCATCTCTACTGCTCTGCCCCTCCTGCGCCTCAGCTACGAGTACTATCCACACTTGCCTCCACCCACCCTCGACGACTTTGCCGCACTCAAGGGGCGCCGTGCCGTTGACTTGCAGCTTTCGAATGCATGCAATGCCAGTACAGATAACATACACAATGTCGCGCGTGATCTCAAGGGGGTTGTTGCCCCTTGGCTATGTGGAGCCCACGACCGTAGTCGGCGCATCTCCGTGAACCAGGATCGGCGCGGATCAATTGACGATG